TATTATAATAAATTTCACACCCGCATGTGTTGTCTCCGTCTTACAAAAATACCTATTATAAATTGGATTGTTACAATATTTTTGGGGGCAAGTCGTTGAGTTTTTTTTTATTATATCCAATATAACCATTATATTGTTTAGGAATAGCAATAATTTCAACATTTTTAAAATACCTTTAACTTTCCAAAATTTAAATTTTTAAAAAAAAAAAATGCAAATACTTGCTCTCAGAAATATTGTCACAATTCAATTTTATAAAAGGTATTTTTTATCTAGAACCAAAATTCAGTGAGTTCTACTCAGACTGCGTGAACGCGTTATGTACGGTGTGTGGGTGTGACGTCCACTTAAGATTAATTTTTTATTTAAGGCTGTTGAAAGCGACCCATTTTAAGGGGTTGGATTTAGGCAATATTCTATAATATCCATTCTGAGTTATGTGTAACTGCATGTGTAGCGAATGATCATTGCGTCAGTGTGCGTCAGTTCCCCGAACGATTTAAATAATTTATGATAATCTACGGCTTATATTATTGGAAATCAGTAACGTACAAGTCACTATATTTTTCAATCAAAAAAGTTTCAACATAAAATTCCCAAAAAGTGGAAGAAAAATTAACACAGTACCAAAAGCTCGATTTTAATTTTTATACTTGAATTCCTTATTCTATTTTCTAGGTTATGTAAGAAAGGGAAATGGATTTTCGAATTTTCGTATTGTTTAATAATTAGTATAGAAATAGTATAATTTTCTTTTTTTTTCAAAATTCACCTTTACTTTAGTTTTGCTAAAAAAGAGAATCGACAATCCATTTCTTACATAACCTAGGAAGGAGAATAAGGAATTCAAATATGTTTTCAAAATTAAAATCGGGCTTTTGGTACCGGGTGAACTTTTTTTCCGCATATTGGTCTAAATGCACTATCTACTATCTATGTGATATAATTTTGTATTCATCCAAATGTATGTTGATACTCTCTGTTATTTTACAAAGATGTTTTTATGAACATCGTTCATTTGTACAATAATGGATACCTATTACCTACATATATCATATTAAACCTAAAATTACAATAATTTGTTTAAACTCTCTTATAGAGAGATACAAAAATTACACCCATAATTAGTTTGGTTTAGTATTTTGAAATGTTTTATTTTAATTATTATAAGGCATAAGTATTTTTTTCAATGACTAACTGAGGTTAAAAATTTAAATCATAATTCGTAACACCATTTAAAAAAACTATAAGAATATTAAAACAACGATGTTGTGATTGGTTATGAATGTTATGATTTTGCCCAAACTGTTTAAAATAGAAATTTTATCGTCTGAACCTTTATTTTTGGCACTTGACAAGGGAATGACATCGTCATTAGTGAATGCAAAATGTAATATAAAGTTTAACTAGGTTTTTATTTCTTTTGCAGACCCAATGACAGAAAAAAATCTATAAATTATTGGTGTCATCTAGAATTTTAGAGCACTCAGGTAGACCTATACTGTACAAATATATGATATTGTTTCCTAAACTAAATATTTATCTGTGTTAAGCTCTTAGTGTTTTTTTTCTACTGTGACATATATATTGGTTTTTTTCTAAATTATATTGGATTAACTAATAGACTGGTCGATTACGTCGTATGGAGACTCCAGTTGTGCGGCTGTCCTTTTAAAACATTGTCCTCAGAAGATTAACAATTTCCTTGTTCTATGACATATTATACATACAGATTTATAATAAAAACAATAAACGACGAATTTAAATGTTTTTATTAACAATTTCACAACAGTCAGTACTCGTACAAATCCTTAAATCCTTAAACTCAAAATATGGCCTCTGAAATACCTCCACAATACCTGGTCATCCCCCAAGACGCTTGAAGCACAGGTGATCTATACAATTATTACAAAACTAAATTATAACAAATGAAAGTTTCAATGGGTTTCATCAACTTTTATCAAAAAGGTTTATTCATATTTGTTACTATTAGACAATATTCTTATTGTGTCAATTTATACAGATTGTATATTAAAAGTAATTGATATAACAAAATAAACGTATTAAGAAAAATACATGAAGTTAATATTGAACTCATGAAAACTAATAATTGTCATAAGATTTTTGGCTGATAGTTAAATGAATATTTATTTTAAATGTTTTGAGAAAATCTGCTTAAAACCCGAGGCTCCTTATCAAGGCGATTAAATATAAACTTTAATCTTGAACTTTTATGCTTGATTTAAATGTAGATAACAGAAAAAGGTAAAAATAATAATTCAAGTGCTTCTCTGTGCTTTGTATTTTAAATCTCAAACATTTAGTCTACATAAAAATTGTATACTATAATGAATTATTATTGATAATAACCTTAGTAGTTTTAATAGACAAAATTGAAATTATTTGATATACTATATTATATAATTATTATAATAAGCAAAAACCCTCATACAATCCGTGTGGATATGTATACTTAGTTGTATTTAAGTTGTTTTTAATTTATATATAATTTTATTTCATTTTATAATTAAATTATATACCCAATAATACATAATACTCTATGTACATTTTTTTCTGATAAAGATAGCAGAACTACCAATCAACATAATATTATTATTTTAAATTTATAAACTTACTTATCTATCGGAAACAAAATAATTGATACAGGAATTTAAAAAATGAAATTATAATAATATAATATATATAATTCCATAATATCACTGCACTTGACAACAATTATTGTTTAAGTCAACACACTTCTAAAAACCGTCAATTGATTTTTTGAACTTCACTTATTTCCATTTTATCAATTATGTATGTGTGACACTGTGACGTATGTGTGTATACTGTATATAATATTTATATTATAATTATATTTAAAATTCAAACACAATAGGTATGCGTAATATCAATTGTTATTTCAATATTAATCCTATATTATATCTTCTAGATAATATGACATTTCATCAGACCCTTCAAATGATTTGTGTTTGTTAAATTTTAATTTTCCTTTGATTACTTTAACTGCTAATGTGTTTTCCAATTTATGTAGATACTATTGGATTTATATCATTTAGTTTGAAATAAAATGTATTTATAGATTCATAGAAAGTTATTGATTTTTACATAAATAACTAATACGAATAAATAATATATACTGTACTACCATAAGGTGTATCTTATTATGAAATACTAAATATGGATTCCAATTACCATACTATAACAGTATAATATTTATTGGATGGATACACAATTTGGCAATACACTTTAATCATGACTGTTATATTCTTTACTCTATGGTTATTCCTTATTACAGACGAATTATTAGGTATGTTGGAAAGCGATAAATTAAAAAATTAAAGTCATGTATGTTTTGCAAACAATTAATTAAAGTTAATATTCCTAATATTAGTAATACTCCGGAGATTTTATTTAAAAATAGAGATTTAATCAATATATTATGTTTAATTATATAGTATAATCTATCGTTATGATTAATATTTTATGAATAATTAAATCTTATTTATTTTTTCGTAGGACATAGATAGATAATAATCAATCGTTGTATGATTTGTCGTAATGACTGTCTTGAAGTATTTAGAAATGTAAAAATAGTATACAATACAAGTAAACACTTATTTACACAAACATAATATTATTAAGATTATAATATGTAACTATACTGGAGCATTATAATTACATATAACATAACATATTACGGTATTACAGTATAACAATTAACAATACAACTAGAATTTTTTTAATGTGTTGCCTGTCTAAAAAAGTTGGGAAACACTGGTTAAAATAACAGCCGATTGTTAGTTAGTTGTTTCTATCGTTATAGATATTTAACTTAAATAATATATATTTTTAAGCTATAGAATGTACATTGTTTTTAAAACTGCTCATAGTTGTATTTAATTAAAAAGGTTACTTAATAATGTATACACTTTTATTTATTACACTATAATAATCGCTTTCGAATATAATATGGTAAATGATAACGAATCTATAAATTGGCACAATGACCTAGTGATAAATGTTTGTTTATTTTAACTCTTTGTTACGTGCTAAAAATTACAATTTTAAATGCATTTATTTTACACTTGCTATAATATTTGTATGGATCTTTTTTTTTTACTTGTTATGAAATATTTCATATTTATAAGAATTGCCATTAAGAAATAACAATGTCGATATCAAATTATTTAACTAATTTTCTTAGATAATACGTATATTGAATTTGTATTAAATTCAAATCGCATTTAAGTGTTCTCAGAGAATTACGGCCTAAATACGTGTATTTGTCGGTATCTTTTAAGCTTATAAAACTATAATAGTTCATAATTTGTAATAGCTGTTCCTTGTTAAAATAAACAATAATATTTAATACAATGCTAGGTTTTAATTAATAATAATTTTGATGAATAGAGAAACAAATAAACTGTAGTGATATCAAAAAAAAAAAAATGTATTAAAAGTCTGTGAATCATAAATACGTTTTTATGAAAGTAATTAATTAGTATTTGTTAAATATAACTAATATTATATTATTCTTTGATAAAAAAAAATATGAATACATACTGTTAAAATGATGATATATTATGAACTTTTATCTTTATTATTTTTATATAATTGATTTGGCAGATAATGATAATAAATTCAGAGACGTATTCAGAAATTTGGCACGCGGGTGCAAATGTTTTTCGCCCTCCCCCACACAAAAAAAATTATTTGACTTTTTTAACCTACCGAGCACGTCGGAGCTTACTTTCCGGTGACAACCCTTTATCGTTATCCTTTTTAGAACAAAAGTTAGTAAAAAAATAAACAGATTTCAAACTTTAAACATTATGTTATCTTTATAAATTAATCACATTTAAATATTTAATATAAAATAAGTTTAGTTATTATCAACTATAATTACAAAACAATAAATATATAAAATTTACATTTTTTTTCGAGCTTTAAAGGAACTAAACTCTAAATTGATTATATCATCATAGTCTAAACCTTTTGTAATATCTGATTCGATGTTTAATACTGTTTAGTCGTTCATCAGTCATCCTCGACCGCAAATAACTTCTAATTCGTTTTAGCGCACTAAACGATTGCTCTGAAGAGCAGTTAGACACAGGACAGCATAGATACATTCTTAGAGCAATATTTACGTACGAGTATATGTCTTCAAATCCTTCATTTTTAAAGGTGACACACATATCTATAATTGATTTAGGTAATTGTTCCTTAGGTAAAGTAAGTAAATAGGTACGAAAGTGTATGCATTCGTTTGAAAATGATAAATTCAGATCCGTTGAATAGTGTTTTCTTAACCGTTCATCTTTTTCTCTAACTTCACTAATGCTTAATTTGTTTATATTAAAGGAGAATGAAACATTTTCATTTACCAGGTCATATGCAATTTTTCTTTTTCTCAACTCAGTAAGTAAGGAGTCCATAATTACCAGAGTTCAGAGTTTCAGACACAGCTAAAGATAATAATATAATATATATAGCTCTATTATCTATAAATATTGTCTATAATATACTCTATAGCAGGCTGTGGTGTTAGGTGTACAATCTTAAAATATTATTGATAAAAAATAAAAACCTTTTTAATATTATGTTTCATTTTAATTAGCAGAAGATGGGTTAAGTAAAAATCTGATGTCGCCCGGGGCATAGTGGGTTTATAGTGGCATTTGACATAAGATAGTTGGTGGTGCAAGTTGGAATAAAGAATGGACCTTGTGATCTGGTGTGTCTTTGAGGAACTTTAAAATCCAGTAGAGTTAAAAGCTAAAAGGAGAAGTAACTTCACCACTTAATAAAAGTCATTTAATCCATAAAGGAATTATGACAAAACTAAAGTTAGTTTAGGTTGTCCGATTTTGATTCTGAAATAATTTAGAACTCGACAGAAAATTGTCTATAGATCGTACGAAACACTTTGTAAAATTTAAATCTTACATTATTCAATTTGTATGAACTATAATTAAACATTTGAAAATATGATTTTTTTCAAATCATAATTAAAATTAAAAATTTTAGACATTTTACTACTGAATTCAAATATTTTTTCGGAATCAAAATCAGACTTTAACTAACTCTAACTTTTGTCATAACAATAAGTAAGTTGTCGTAAAATTCGTATAGTTGAGAGACTACTTAACTTCTAACATTTCTCTGCTATCAGCTAGCGAGTTTAAGTCAAGGAGACCCGCAATTATTGGTGTATAGTCGTGAGCTGCATGTGGAATACTTAATAAAAAAACTAGCGAATTGAAAAAACCTATGTTTGGACTCTTTTTATTAAGTTAGTGCCGTAAGTAGTATTCGGATTCCATACAAATATACAATAGAACCATATTCGAGAATACAGTGTTTTAATAGATTTTTTAAGTTGTAAATAAGAATCTGTCCTCATTACAAAATTAATTACTTTAAAAGCTTGACAACAAATCATAAATATATGAGGCTGTGGAAAAATCGAACCAATAAATTTGAAACCTAGATCTATGAAACGATTAAACACGTGAAATATTGTATGTACCTGTATGATAAGTGTTTAATATGGGAGATCTACTATAGACTATAGTATAGGTTATTTAACACATGACACTTATCTAGATTAAGGGTTAATCCTAAGGCTTCAAAATCATATAATAAAACGACCCAGGTCACTTTGTAACTTAGCACAGTCATTCAGAGAATAAATGCTCATAAATGGTTTCATATCGTCTGCATACCTTAGTAATTTGCAGTTAGCTAAATTATGAACTACACAATGAATTACATTTACTCTCGCATTTACTTAACTTTTGTCTTTTAGCATTAATATTTTACTATTTTACATGGTCGTAATTCCAAACATGGAATATAATATTATCCAAATATGAAGAATTGGAGACGTAACAAACATTTTGGCTGATTTAATAATTGTGCATATCTTCGATAAATGTCATTCTGAATTAAAATAAGTGAAGTTCATATTTGATTCAACGTTTTAAATAAAACATTTTATTTTGCATATTTTTGGAGTTAGTGCATATTAATGTTTTATTGAACATTGGGGGATCACTGGGAATGATCTATCTTTGCATATATATATTATTTGGATATGTATGATATTTTAAATTTAAATGTTTATTTTGCATTTGCATAAATTATTCAAAAAAATAGTTTTATCTTTATATTTGTTTATAACAAAAATTTGTGATTTGTTTATGCAGTTTGTACGCATAGTATTTATTATTTACATTCAACTCTACTTTTCGACCCATCAGGTTGTCATGGAGGGGGGCATGCCCCGCCCTTAGACATTTTGGTTAAATATACGTGGTTGATAGCTTATACTTACGTTGTCACGCAAGAAACCTTCTCATTAAGTCACGCTGACTGATAAGACGAACTGATTCAATTAAAATAGGAAGTTTTTAAGTTACAAACTTTTTTTTTATTTATTTAAAAAAGTATATTTACAATCTATACAACAGATAGGGTATAATGAGTAAGTGTGGTGACATAAGAACATTAGACATAGAATAACATTAATAGGGAGGCTCCCAGCAGTGCCACCTGACCAGAACTCAACAAGTTACAAACCTTAATGATTTCATTTTTTTTTTTTTATTAAATAAAATATATACAATCTGTATTAACTATACAATAAGTAATAATGATAATTTATATACAAGACTGGACGGCTTGATAGAAGGGAGTGTCCAAACAACACTACTTCAATTTTAGACTTTTAATTTATGTTTTTTTTTTTTTTTTTATAATTATTGGTTGAGGAGGTCCCTGGGCCAATTTCGCTTTAGGGTTATCGGGGAGAGTGACGGATGAGAGATTGGAAATGAGTGGATTAGGGTGGTTTACTGTGTTGTTGTGAAATAATTTATAGTAGAGGGAGGCTAGGGTGCTTATATATGGGATTTTAAGGTCAGAGTGGAGTGTGAGGTTGGTAACGTACCAGGGTGCGTTTGTGAGGAGACGAAGACAAATTGATTGAAAGGATTGGAATTTTTGAATGTTGGATTTTTTGGAGGTGCCCCATAACTGTATTCCGTATCAATTACTATATGAACGGAACAATGAGCAACATAAAATTGGTCTTTTAAATGTCGATGATATGATTCAGCTGCATTTGTAGTTCATATAACCTCATTATCCGGAATTTCAGCCCAAATTTCAGATGGAAATATACTAGAATAAATGTATGTTTCTAAAATTTAATCACTAAATTTGGAAATCGTTTGATCTTCAGGTGCGATGGACATTAAATCTGCAAAAGCATCAGATACTTCGGTGCACGAAATAAAAGCCAAACCAAAAAAAGACTTCAACCAAATCCCTATTTCAGAGTTCTTCGTGTATTCATTTCGAAGACCCAAGCTTTAAATTTTCCGAAACCACGATTGCCCTAAATGAAATTGACAACATTTTATTTTTGAGTTTGGAAAAACTGCTAAAAATCCATCATGTGCTGCTTTTTCAAAACACTGTCTATTTGACAATCTATCGTAATCAGATAATACATTTGTCGATTAAGATTAAGCATTTGGAGTTTTTGAGCGATATAGTTCTAAATTTAATATCTGTTATTTAATTTCTATTAACCGTGGCTCACAAGTACCTAGGATTTTGGCGCTTTTGTACGATACGACTTTTTCCTTATCCCATTTTGGCGCTTATGAACGATACGATTTTGGCGCTTTTGTACGATTCGACTTATTTTTCTTATCCCATTTTGGCGCTTATGAATGATACGATTTTGGCGCTTTTGTACGATACGACTTTTTTTTTCTTATTTTATTTTTGCGCTTATGTCTTCCACCGCAACATTTACAGGTGCGGTTGTAGATAAAACCTGAACCGTAACTATAATGATAAAATATGAGATGTATCTATGCATAAATTATGTATCCCTTTCGTCAATCATGTTAGTAGTTTGTTTATTGTTCAATAATAGACTAACGTTTAACGAGTAGGTAACGAGTTATTTAATTAATTAACAATTAACTATATTTTCCACAATTCAAGTTAAAAATTGTCAATTATCTTATAACTAATAATATAAACAAATGTTTTTATAACTGAGGATTAAACGTACTACACACTATTCACTATTCACGTATAAACGTGTTTTTAATTCATATTAATTTTATTTTATATTAGACTAAAAATAAAGTTTTAGATCGTCTTACAAATGTATGTAGTGCAAATAAAATTAAAGATTGACGATGGACCTAGAATTGAATTGTATGTTTTAAAGGTCATTGCCTGATATTATTTTATAATTGTAAACAAACAAAAACTCAATTGATATCTTTGATTACTTTTACAGTGTTCATATATTGCAATCGAATACCAAATACTTATCTTTTTAAATAAAAAGATAAATACTTATGTTCTATGCTATTTAAATAAATCGATGTATAACCTACCAAATAAACTTGAATAAAAAAAAATAAATCCCATATAATATAATGTGAATAGATTCACATACATTTTTTTTTTAATATTTTAACGAGTCCATAACGTAACACAACGAAATAAAGGTCTCAACTATTTAGTATTTACCAACAAAATATATTTTTAAATTTCGTGCGTTTTTGATACATAAAAACAGCATACATTTAAATTATAAACATTTATCTTATAATGTAATTATTTTTGTAAAAAAACTAATGATTTAAGTAAAGAAAATCTACTTTTTTTGTATAGAATTACTTACCTACCTATCTACATTTATTTTTTTATTATTAAACTATGTTTTGAGTATACATTTAAAGTTTAGCCTATATCACTTAGTTAAGTTTTCAACTATTATAACTTATAATTAGGTAGTAATAAGTAATAAATAATAACTGTCTACTATAATATCGTAATAAAGTTATTTTTAATTTGTATTGTTATGCATTTTTGAAATCATACTCTCTAACGTTTACGCGTGTGTATCTTGTACGAGTTGTACCGTTGTGCGTTATTTTAAAATTATCATAACAAAGCAGTACAAGTCTACACCAGTACACCACTTTAACTCAATATATTATGCTCTATTTTTCTACACCGTGTTTTGACCAACACTATTTTTCTTCGCTTTTTAATAACACTGATCTAACATTTTTCAACTAGTGATCACACAATATAATATTCGGTATTTTCGATAGGTAGTTATTACTGATTATGTATAGTTTAATATTTATGTTCAGGTACTTAAACATCATATTATACTGATTACTGGTCACCGTTGCACTAACTTATTAACTTAACAACTTTCAAATGCAGTGTGATTGATAATTTTAAGAGAAGTAAGAATTAAATAGCGATCACCGTAGATTTCCCAGTTTTAATTCAGGCCTTTGTAACTTTACGTACAGTTGAAATACATTATACTGGGAATGTCATAATAATTAGCGAACTCCGTTACACACAAGCTGCAAGTCAAGTTTGACGTTCAACCAGTCTCCTTTATAGCCATTAAACGATAATATTGCTGGTATAATAGTATATGGCAGGCTAAGTATTCGTCTGGTTATCCGGCCAGCAGTTTAGACGGTGCGTTGTATAAATTATTTTTCCTCACTTAAAACCTTGTTATTACTACTACTATTATTTGTTACTTATGAAGAAACGCTGCTTAATGATTTAAATCATTTTAGACCTATGGGTGTTTAAATAGGTATTTATAACAAAAATTGATAACTGTATTTTATAATATATGTATATTCGATATTAGTACACATTTATCGTCACAATATTTATCTCATTAGTCATTACGTACACACTACCCGGCACACTTTTAGTACGGTACGTTTTGATGTTTTTTCATATTTATATATTTACATTATACAGTATTCGCTGGTTGTAGCCTGCAGGTTAAAATTTGTAAGAAGACTCCAAACTGTAATAATACTACTATTATTATCTACTTATTACTCAGTGCGTACCCGTTTTCTACAAACTGCTATATTTTGTACAACGATGTAGATACTATCTCACATAAATATGTGTAATACATTATACATATTTATTATTATGCAATTTGTAAAGTTGTAAGGCGTTAACTTTTTCGATTTAATCGAATTCATTGAAATTAAATTCATCTTAAAAAAACGATGACAGATCTGGTCAATTATTCACTATGGTCATAGAAAATAAATAATGATAAGAAGTTAAAAGAATCGTATTATTTGGTTATTTGTAAGAAAAACTCTCCTTACAGTTTTTATGTTAGGTAACATGTACGTTGTACACAACCCGCTATAATGTTCGAATGTTAAATAGATTGTTCCAAAAATTAAAACATCAGTAAAGTAACCTATATTATTATATTTTTATTATTATTTTTTATTTTCAGACAACATCGAGTCAATTCGTAGTATAGAAATCAGTTCTGCGTTCACGCAACTATCGCAAAAAACAGGTTTGTCCGAAAAATCGCTTATAATAATAATTATCGCGGATCAAAATTCGCGGACCGCACTCGTCGAAATCCACCCCCCCCTCCCCTCCCCAACCAGTACGCACGCCCAAATAACCCAACAACAAAGCAGCGCGCGCGGCCCCCGTCAGCACAATATATTATATTTTAGTGTAATATGCATATCAATATAGGTATTATTATTATTATATATTATTATGTATACTGCTGTACCACTTTTTCTCGGTTTTAGTTTTTTTTTTATAAACATTTCGTTATAATAGGGGGCCTCCACCACCGCTCCGCGCCGGCGTGAGGACCGAGTGGTAGGTGCAGCGACGATACTACTACGGCAGTGAGCAATCGCGCTGTCGTTTGAACGACACGTGCAGACCTCGAAGTGTTTCACCTATAGCTATTGTGTGTGCTTCGATCACAGGCGTCGCGTGTACCGAAATAATGTGACGTCGACGTCGACGATATTTTCTCGGGGGAAAAAAACAATCGCGGTTTTTGTATTTTATTATTTTGTGATTGGCGTGGGATCTTCTTCACTGCGATTAGAACATAATATCACATCATATTTTTCATCTGCTGCAGACGTAAGGTATGTTATCGTCCTAACACTGGTCATTTTGATAGTTAATCGTTCTGGAGCCAGGAGCCCGTTTCGTGTAAAACATATTTAAGTAAATTATTATTATAATATGACGTAACTTGTAGGTATAATATAATATATAATGCGATATGTAGAAATATTCATATGCGTTCAATTATGATAATTGGTAAGGAACGGTTTTCCCCTATTAACATTTCGATGCTATTAAAGGGGTCATAAGTTAATATCAAATATGTATGTTGTGTATAATTTTTGTATAGCGTTCCTTTAGTTAGACATACGTTTTTAAACTATACAAATAACATATGTGTATGGTTTGCGATGATTATTAAACATTCTACATAGTCTTTGTTTTACCACATACATACTAATAAAATCGGTGGACGTTTAAATTGTATTATACGAACCATCCAAATATTTTATTACAAAATGTGAATATGATATTGTGGAAAAATAATTTAGAATTTTATGCGTTAGTTAATTTCTTGTGTAAGTACAACATTCGAAAACATTAAGTCTACAGTATTTGTAAAATATTGCTTGTAGGTAGTATAGCGTTGTTTTATATTCGTCTATTTTTTAAGTACCTAAGGATTAAAGGATTAATTATAATTTTTTAACAAGGATGTGCTGATACGATTATATTAGCCATCTACAAAAATCAAATATCTGAAATTACATATTATCTATGAATATGTAATTATTTTATTCCCGGATAATAGAGATCAGTATAAAGACTTGTTTGTGAAGATGCGCAGTAAATTGTATTCGTTTTTTTTTAAGTAAGTTGTTATCTTGTGGCCCGTGAAAAGTTTGATATTATAAACTATAGTATTCAATTTAATTATTTTAAAATATATATTAGGTACCATTATAGTTATATACCTACACAATATAGCAGAGGTCAGAAGACTATGTAGGATTATTTTGTATAACTTAGTAACACATTTATATTATTAAAAATGTGTGTGTTGTGTTAGATAATTATTATATTGTTAAGACTCATTTATTATTATTTATTATTAATATAGATTGTTGCCTCTTATTCTTTAAAAAAAATAATAAGCCGAGTTTACCTCGTATATAAGTGTATAATCAGTTATCGCTGTTATCTTTTTTATATTCTAATTTATCAACTATTGAACTATTCTCATAAGGAAATGTTAGCATTGTATTAATTTAAGTAATACAACGTGTTTAAACTTTAAATTTAAAAAATACTACAGTGAAACGTTTAACTAGATGAACAAAATATAATTCAATAGGTATTATTTAATGTGTGCAGTTAATAAAATAATAACGTTTACAATTAGGTATTTTTCGTACTATTGACTTAATATTTTATTCCAAGTGTCGTGTTAATTTTCACATTGTTATTATATATTTAAGTAACCTTAAAAAATAGTAGTTTTATTGGACAATAATTATTTTAATCCACATACAAGATTTTTCCGTTTTTATTGTAAATTAAATAAAATGTATGTATATTATACTATATATTGTAGAGGCACAGCGTCTCGCCTTTAGAGGGATATTGGTTGATCTTATTAAAAATGAATGATTATACTAATATCTTTTGATTACGTGCGGAATCTTAAAGTTCAGTACTTAAACCACAGAGTTAAGAATAAAAGCCCACCTTTACGCTTTATATACAAAGGAAAATATTTATCAGCAAAAAAAACATACAATTTTCCGAAGGAGAAATTATGAAAGAGAATATTATTATACAATAGTTTATTATTATGCTGCGTGTAAGAATATAAATGAATTTTAGTATACCTAAACAAATAGTGGTAGATCACCACATGCTTAAAATGATTAATGTAACTCACTTGTTGGAAAAAGATGGCGACCCGTGCTGTATACAATACATTACATTACTTTGTAATTCAGGCAAATTTATCTTTTTAGGTATTATCCATTTATACATCACTATTTATTTCAGTGTTATAGTGTATTTTTGAAGGAGTGTGTTTAGGTAATTCATAATTGTTTCTGTTATCTAATTTAACTTATACCAGAAATTTAAAATCCGTCTGTAATCATTCATTTAATTCAAAAACGCTATTAAATTAAACTATTATAAAAAAAAAAAAAAAAATGTGACCACTTATTGCTAAAAGAAAAAGTACTTTATACTACATTTTAAGCTTTTTACTTGGAAATAAAAATTTGACCATACTTAAACTATATCGAAAAAAACTAAAAAAAGACTTCGAAAATTAAAACACCACAAATAGAGCCAACATAATTAGAAATATTATGTCTAGAAAACTCTAATTAATTTAAATTTAATTTTTCCATAATATTATATTTTAACGATATCGCATATTTTTATTTCTGTCTGTTATTAAGAAATCCATAGTTCGGCATAAAAACTTAATATTTAACAATGATCGATAAAATAAGACAATATTACCAAATGTATGACGTAATACAAATAACATAAATTATCATCCAATCAGCATCGAAAAACACTTTCCAGTAACGCCCTCCTTATCAAAACTGGCTATAAATTATGACCGGGAACAAATAGATAGCATAATATTTAATATAATCGGCGGTAGGTCTTGAAAAGTCGTGTTAAGATGAACAAGTGTCTAATATGTTCTATAGCAGCAGGTCAGGTTAAAAACTATACGATAGAGCTATAACTATAATTTATTTGAAATTGTTTTAATGGTTGTACTTTTGATTTATTATATTTAGAAATGACTCGTGAATCAATAGTAAGCAGTTACAATACTGAAGATGCATTGGGGGACAGGCCATTGGAATTAGTTCAACCTACTAATCATGTCCACGAACACACAATACATCATCAAATATTAGAGGTAAACTTAAATTTGTATTTATTTGAATTTATGTCGTAAAGGGTTATATTATATTATTATTAAATTAATTTTTTTATAGTATTTTCCATTTTTATTGAAGCTTAATTTAAATATATTTTTATATTTAAAAATCAATTATTCACCTTTTAGAAATAATGAATTGGATAATTTAAAGTAAAGTGTATATAGTAGGTAATTTTATTTTTTGCCTCTGTATTTAATTGGTTTTATATTGATTATATAATAACAAAACAGTGAAGTAAGTTTTCAACATAGCTAAACGATTTATTTATAGAAAAAATACTGCTTTTACGAAGTATATTAATTTAAAAATATAAATATAATTATATCTAATTTTATAATGCATATTATTTTATGACAGCGTTCATACATATTACAAACATATTGGAATTATAATAATTTATTTGATACTTATTTATAAATGCAATTTAAGTTGACATTATATAATTATGTTTTATTTGAGTTTTACAAATTCAAAATGTTTAAAGTATATATATATATAATACATATATGTGTATAGTTATAGGTTATAAATAGGTACCTACTTTACAGTTCATTGTAAATTATGAAAACACTTACTTAATAAATGTAATATATTTCTGTAAGAAAATTCAAAGTTTCCAATAGGCAAAAAAATTTATAAAAAAGTTTCGTTAATCTTGTTTTTTTTCTATTTATAATTGTGCCTATAAATTAACTTTTTATTCTCTGTTTATTACTGTATGTTAAGTGAAATGTAATTAAAAGTCTAACATATTGGTTGTTTATCAACATAGGTTAAAAAAATTATTCACAAATTCAAATATGTATAATTTATAATTTTAGTTAAAAAAGCAACAACAGCTTCAACAACAATATTTATTGGAACAATTCCAAGCTCAACAACAACAGTTAGCCGAGCAACACGAACAACAACTCCGGCAACATCTTAAAGTAAATTATTATTATAATATAAGAAAATGATATTGGAGTTGACCGTTCTATAAAAAATTCCTTAGGTAAATTTCCTATTTCAGAAGAATATTGTCCAAACAATATGTATTAATAATGTATTATATTGCCTGCATGTATATTATACATGGATACCGATAAAAGTTTCTCGACCGACTTAATAACCTGTTGAATAAAAGATTTGAACTATCATCTTGTGTTATTCACTATTGTTATACATTTTATGAGCATAATATCTGTATTAAGTTACAAATGTATACAAATAGTTGATAACGTGTTCTTGTTGGACGAGGACTCTACATAAATAATGTATAGACATGTGTTATGCAGGATTTATGGGAAAAAAAACGGGAAATTGAAGAAAAAGAACAGCGTGAAAAAAAGGAAGAAGAAAAATTGGAAACCATAAAAAAAAAAGAAAAACATGAACAAAGTGCTATTGCGTCATCCGAAGTTAAACAAATTTTACAGGTAATATAAATAAATAAAATATACAGATTAATTTAATGATCGATGTATTGATATGTACTTATCAGTTTCTATAGCAATACCACAACTAAAATATTATTTAAAATTCTAAACCATATTTTAATGATATTCTTTTTGACTTAATTCTTTCTAATTACCTTTTTGACGTACTAGGTATAGTGTTATAATATCTCAGATAAGCTTTATTAATTGTTTATCAATTTATATTTAAGATAGTTTCTAGCAACACATAGTTTTTAATAGACATATGAATTTAAACATAAATAATCAAGTCAGAATTATTTAGAGGATGTCGGTGCACTATTTGTTTTCTCTCTCTGGCCGCAGCATAGACAAAACGCATTAACTCAGAATCATTTTTTCTGTGTTTTTAAGTTATCTTAGGGTAAAATCACCCATCACAAATAAGATAGAGAATAATATTTTTGAGGGAATGACATATAGGTTTTATATTTTATTGTTATTCGACTTTCAAAATAAACAAAAAAATGTTGCACATTTAAATTATGTTTAAATTTTTTTGAGACAATATTTAGACAAATTAATTTGTCATTCCCTCACAAATATTATTCTCTATCTTTTTTTTATACCATTTTACTCTAAGATTACTTAAAAACATGGAAAAATGATTCTGCGTAAATGCGTTTTGTCCATAAATTTTTGTCCCCGTTTGGGCCAGAGTGAGGAAAGCAAATAGTGAGCTGACATCCTCTCAAATTAACTCTAAATATTACTATTTTTTTCTTTTTTGATTCTATCGAATCTTTAAAATGTTAAACCACATTTAATAACTAGGATATCTTTTTCTAAATTACAAAAACATAACCAAAACATAAGTTAAATTTTTAAAAAGAAAAAATCAACTCTTAAGTATAGTTTACAACTGATAAGAGTGGATTTACAATGTAAAAAATGTGAATAGATTGGAGAATGGAGATTTTAGTGTGAGGGTTATGAAGAATATTATTAAATTTGAAAAATAATACTGTTAAGAGTTTGCCGCTTGGTTTAACTAAAATATGTTAAAATGTTGTTACAACGCGTGTATTTGCCGTTTTTTAAAGATTCTCTGAAAAAATTCTGTGAACATTTAATAGAAAAATAACCATTACTTATCATCGTTTGTATAATTTCAAATGTACATAGGTTCTGCTTGATATTTTTAACCTATTATCATTATTATATACTGCTGAGAAAAACCTCAGTAAGTTTAGCTAAGTATAACTGATTGTGAACATTTGATAGAATAATTGCTACCTAGTTAAGCTTTATAAATATAAATAAATAATATTATATCAACTGGTATGCTTTTATTTTAGAGATAACAAACATGATTACAATTTTACGCATTATTTATTGTTAATGAAGTCTTTATTTTAAATAGGTACTTACATTGTTATTAGTTAAATTATTTCTTACAGAATATAATATGTTTGGATCCAAATTTTAAATCATACAATAATTTAAAATGGAACATGGCTTTACTTTACAGTTATATATTAGGTAAAAGTGGGTAAAAATGTAATTCCATTATTATATAAATAATTGTGATAAATATCGCACTATTCAACATTTAATTTAGAATTTAGGTAAATTAAAAAAAATAGCTGCTGAATCATATTTTATCATACGTGTGCCATGTCAACGATATATTATCGTGTATACAAATATTAGTTATTATTTATTATTTATAGTATTTAAAAATGTATGACTATTTAGACATCCCGAGAAACATATTTAAACGCCCATACCTATTTGTTCATTAGAAGTTAGGGGTACCCATAATACTAATACCTACTTGATAACATACATATTATACTAATACAGTAATACCCTCCATCCGCTCGATAATTTAACAGTGACAATTGCTAAATGTAAACAGACATTGGTATCCAAAGGCCTTGTAGATATATTTAATACAATTGAGTATGAACGTGTTACGATTTTCCTATTCGCTCATTCAATATTTTTAACTTTTTAGTTCTGTTTTTTTTTTTTTTTAGTAAAAATGAATACATATTTAAAAAATATATTAATATAAGTACAATTTATATTTATTTAGTACATCCTTAAAATTGTTTAGGGGTTTCTGCTGAGTAAAAAACATCGAGAAGCAGCATCAAGCAGCTCTATACAATCACAACAATCATACCATAGTTGGTTAGTACTTTTAGAGGACGCCACACCCGCATGTGTCTTCAAACGTACACCATGGACAATTTTACGTTCACAGTATACGTTCTCTGTAATTTCTAAAACTAGACTGAATTGACCTCTTATAAAATTTAAAGGTAAGATTATTATTTAGGGCATCTCTGAGGATTATATTGATATTTTTATTATAAAGCAAGTTTGACCATTTTTTGTACATTTTTAAATTATCATAATTCATAACTTACTTATAAATAATAATATAAATAAATCCTCCGAAATTCCCTAGATAATATCTTACCTTTAAATTGTATCATTGGTCAATTCACTCTAATTTAATAATAACAGTAAAATAGATCGTTGTTAAGGCTGTTGAAAGCTGGTCGTTTTTTCGTTTTTTCATCTCTTTTCGTACATTTAGACCAAGGCCGAGGCTATAGTGCTATACACGGCGTATTCCGCAGCTTTTTTCGCCGCGGATGAAAACGCGGCGTATTACGTCCGTCGTATATAACTACTCCGATATAAACCAATGCATTTTTAATAAGACGAAAAACGCGGCGTAATACGCTTTGTAAAGCCCCGGTGGCCCAATAAGTGGAAGAAAAATTCACTCAGTACCAAAAGCCCAATTTTAATTTTGAAAACATATTTGGATTCTTTATTCTCTTTTCTAGCTTATGTAAGAAATGGATTTTTGATTCTTTTTTTTTAGTAACACTAAAGTCAAAGTGAAATTAAAAAAAAAAAAAAAAAAATTTATTTGGTACCTACTCGGTGATTTTTCTTTCGCTTTTTGGGACTTTTATGTTGAAACATTTTGATCGCAAAATATAGTGACTTGTGACTGCTCGTATGTACGTTACCGATTTCCAAGAATCATAGCCTTAGTTTATCTTAAATTACATAAAGCGTTCTGGGAACTCACGCACTCTAGTGATCAGTTGGTACACACGCAGTCACACATAACTCAGGATGGATATAGAATATTGCCTAAAACCGACCCTTTAAAAATGGTTCGTTTTCAACGGACTTAACATACAATTTTCCATGTTGTACGTTTGTAAGATGGAAACAACATATTATTATGCTGGTGTGGCATCCTCTAAATTATAAATTGTTCTAAATATACATTTATTATATATTATATAGGTATTTAAAATATTGATATTATTTTATGTAGGGGTATCTTACAATCTCAGCAGTCGGAACCAAACGTAATGCCTAGTAGCTTAAGTCCATCATCTAGTGGGTCAAATATTACACCGTATAGATTTGTTGGGCGGTACGAAGATGATTTTCCTCTTAGAAAAACAGGTATTTATTTTTAATCTATAAAATGTAGCTTTTTTAACATCCTTTTAATAATTTAATAATTTCTTTAGATATAACGCGCTAAATACATAGAAATACCTCTTTTATGTTTGTTTACTATTATATTAGTCTAACATGTTTATAATAATGTAGAATCACATAACAAAATAAAAATAATACTTGAAATGTGTACATACCTACCTATGAGAAAATTTAATTTCAGCCCAAAAACTTTGAATAGTATTCTAATTTATTTGTATTGAAAAATTTCGAATTTCTGGATTGCACAATTTATTATTTGTTATAGCTGGATATAGTAAAATGACGATTTATTAGACTATATTATGTTTGTAATCTATATTTATGGAAATTATTATTTTGTGCGTTGAATAGGTACTTATTTACAGGTACTAATCAAACAAAGTTGCTCACAAGTTACTGATAAAAATAACAAAATGTAACTGAGGACCGTGGTGTAAATTAAATTAATTAAAATTTAATTTTTTCCCCTTATTTTATATTTAATTTGTTAAGAAATTTTAAAAAGCTTAAATACCCGCTTTTTAAGGAATTTAGTAAGTATAAAACAATGGTAATAAAATGCTGAGAGAAATAATATTTTAATTCATATATAATTAAATATTAATTCAAAGTAACTTACAAGTGGTCCCATATCACTATTGTATTGCTTGGGTAATTACGAGATTATACAGAAAAACGGTTTCGTGCTATTTTTGTATAAATCCGCATATTTATAGTTCAGAAACTAAATTAATGCACGAAAGGAAAAACAATATTTGCTACATCGTACTATCTCAGAATTTTTATTTTTTGATATCGTTAATACAAAAAAGGTGGGCAAGTGGGTATCGCTCTGCTGTACAGTAGGTTACAAGTGGCTCACTGTAATGAATAGTGTTAAATTCAAATTCAATGATATAATATCATTGCATATGAAAAACGATTCTGAGCGAAAACGGTCAGTCAGTATATGATATTACTATGTATAATATATTTGATATTATTGTGAATAAAGTAATGTATATTATACAACCTATTTACGTGAAACCTTATCTTAAATTCTCAATCTTCTTAGCTATAAAAGTTTAACATTTTATACATTTTTAAATACAAAATAATAATTACATTTTTTCAATATTTTAACTAAAAATGCTTGTAAAAAATATTGTGCCTACCTATGTATTTTTAATATTATTCAACTGCTAAAATTCCAATATAGGTATCAGAAGCCTTGTATTAAATTTTCACACCTTTTCACCCAACAAATAAAATTTTAATGACAATTTATTATAGAAAAAAAAACTAAAAAAATTGAAAACTGACAATGTCCGTAAACAGCTCAAAAAGAGTCAAAATATTTTCAAAATTGTATATTGTATAGAAAATGAAAATATAAACATTCAGTAAAATTTGTATGTATCTACAGTTATTCGTTTTTGAATAACAATAAAATAACTAAACCGCTACAATATCCAATATTGTAAAAATATGAACTTCAAACGCTCATAAAATTTTAATTTGATTTGCTTGTAGACATTTTGTTTTTTGATAAAGGTAGACAAATTTATGAGGAGTCTTGTATTACATTTTCAAAACTCAGATTTAAAAATAAAATTTTTATGAATTCTCAACTCAAAACAATTTGCTAATTTTCGTGATTTTTCCGTATTTTGTCAAGATTTGAACTTTAAATGCTTATAAAAAAAATTGTGACCACGGATTGTAATATTTGTTTCATCTTTCTTTGAAACAATAAATTAGAAGCCGTCTGTTCAATTGTCAAGCTTTTTACCCAACAAATAAAATTTAATTGTTTATAGAATAAAAAACCCGTTTTTCCTTAATTTTTCTTTTGTTTTTCACGGTGCTTAAGAAAACTAATGGGACATTTTTACTTTTTATCCCCCTAAGTACCAACTAGATTCACTTTTCCATCAGAAAAAATGCTGTTAAAGAATATCCAAGCATTTTTACTGTTCTAAAAGGTGGTTACAGATACAAAAAATCAAATAAAATAAATAATAAAAAAAAAAATCACATAATTGTAAAATTAATCGCTCCGCTCAGAATCTAAAATTAAAAAAGTTATTTTTATTATTTTGAACTTAAATAACTTTTGTATATCATAAAATTAAATCTCTACGACAAAGAAAATATTGTGTTCTGTATCGTGTAATGTACAGCTCGTACATTTTGTTCCCAATATGACTATATAGTCTGTGTGGTTCTTTTTCGCACAAAACGGTTTTCACAAACAATTTATGGAAATGTGGTGTCATGTAAAAAGTTTTTATAATGCAACGAGTTGTTTTTGAACCATCCAAATAATTTTTTTGTATTAACCTTATGATGACAACGTAAATAAGTAATAACAAACTTGTTATGACTTAAAATGACTATAGTTTTTAACATAACGTTTGTTTTCTTTTCATCCACTGACCACTCTCCTAACTTAAGTGTGTTTTTTTTTGTTCCTTGTGTGTGTTGAAAATGTTATTGCATGCAGCGTCCGAACCGAATTTGCTCAAAATCAGATTGAAACAGCGCATGTTCGACAGACGTAACAATCCAATCGCACGGCCCAAAGAAAGATTCGGCAACAGAGTGTCTAAGCTCGCAAGTACCGTACCATTTTACCAATAAAATACTTTTCCCTTTCAATACTAACCTATTAATATTCCATAAAAAATTTCACATTTCTGTTTTTATTTTTATTTTTCAGTAGAGACATCGCCGTCGGGTAGCACCCCCGGTTCTGGACCTAATTCTCCTCCTATACTCATACCAAATTGTCGAAACTCACCTTCAACTGGAGCCACAACTCCAATTAAAGAAGTAAAATACCAATTTTCCATTAGAGTCCGTTTTATTCCGTTTTATATATTTGTTTTATTTTTTAAGGAAGGAGAAATTTCATTTGGACATATGTCTAATAATAAATCAGACCAAAGCAGTAGTGTTGCTGATATATCTGCATTATATACAAGTCCTTCAATGCCTAATATATCACTAGGTAGACCACCATCAAATTCGGTAATTTTTATTTTTATTACGAATAAATATTTATAATTATAATCTAACCATCATTATTGAGTTATTAGCTCACGCCTGAAAAATAAAAATAAATTAGTTAGGTGTGAGTCTTAAAAAAACTATTTATTGTTTAACATTAGTATTAAGTTTTTAACTTCTTACTTAATAAATTACATATTTATTACGTTTTATATTTTTAAGCTATATTATATTACAATTAGATACTCTATACCTGCTTTTACAATGGAACCTCGCTATCTCGAAGGAACCAAAAAAAAAAATGTATGTATCAAAACTTCGAGCTACCGAGGTTATTTAAAATATTTGAATGAATGATCGGGATTAAAAAAATATTCGATGTATAGAAACTTTGAGATACCGAGGTTCCACTATAATAGCAATATTAGAAAAAATAAATCATTTTTAGTTTAATATCCTAAATATATTTATTATTATTATTATTATTATTTGGAGTTAACCCCATTATGGTTTAAACTGCTCATAAATTAATTATTTGTGAAGGTTAGGCCTCTGTTATCTAATAGAACGTTTTTTATCCAAAACATAATTACCCAATGGCTAATAAGTAATAATGTAAGTAGTTGTAACAATCGATTATTTCTTATGTATTGTCTCCGTCTTATTAACGCATAATATACAACAATATGTTACATTCAACAGTTTCAATTTTGTGTTATTAATTAAATATTTGATTGAATTCGCTTTTTATCAAACTTAAAAGATAGTTTTTATTGAGTGGGTAAAATATTAAAACTTATAAATTCGTATTGTTCGTACATTAGATATTATAAAAAAACAAACGAGAGAAGTAAAGAACACAGATAATGTTGGGTTAAGTTTAATAGTATATTAGTATATGCATTCAATCTAATATAAACATGCTAACCACACAAAAGCAGCTGAACGCAATTTGCTATGTTATCCATTTGTAAAACGAAGACAACATCATAATATTATGCGGGTGCGACGTCCTCTTAAAAGCATATATATATTATATATAAAATAATACGTAATATAATGTTCATTTTATACTTTTTATAGTTTTATACTAGGTATAGTTTTCAGTTATATAGATTATAATTTATAGAGATTCTAATATTATAGTTTATTAACTATCTATGGGTACTAGGTAGTTCATTTATTGAATATTTAATAACCATAACATTATAAATATTATATAAATATTAGTAAATCAAGAAAAAATCCATAAATTAATATTTAGCTGACCTTCTATTTTATAAAATATTAACATATCACGAACAATGTTTTGTCAATTTAAATTTTTGTTTTAGCTAAATTTGCCTCTAAGAATTCATTAATGTTAATCTGGAATTCATTTTTTTTATTTAAATTAATTCCCAAATCCAAATATCCTCTATAATAGAAATTGTTTAGTTGGCACTTTTCGTAAATATTTATAAATATTGATTGAATACTGTTTTAATATCATTATTTAGTAGGGACCCACATATTATCTTATGATTTTATTGACAGTTGTAGCAAATTTTATAATTTATAAAAACCAGGTACTATAGTTTATTAAATATAAATATGACTGTTACATTATCATATCTTTACTATAAACTATTTAGATAATATATAAAATAAAATACGGAATATATAGTTTTTAGGTGTTTGTAGAAAATCGAAATATCTTCAAAAAAATAAATGCAGCTAAAATATTGCTCTTCTTCATAAGTCGCTTTGGTTAGGTTTATACGGTTTCTAGACATTTAAAGTTTCGAAAATATAATATTACATAAAATCTTATTTTATTTGACATTTTTAGGCATAATTATTTAAATTATTTTGTAACCAAACCAAAAAAACTCGTTTTACGTTGCATCAGACTTGTTTTTTATACCTTGTTTCTGGTAATTTTTATGATTATTTTGACTATAAATTTACTTTTTTAACATTTGGAAGTATTTTTTTTCAATGTTTTCATTGATTACGCTTTCTCCGTTGTATTATTTGGTCGATTCTTTGTCCAATGAAAAAAAAAATAATTCTGGAAAAAGATTTTATATTTTCTGTTGCAAGGCCATTACCACAACTGTGGAATTAAAAAAAATAAAATGTTTATTTTTTCATACAGTACGATTTCTTTAACTTGAGATGCTCAATATTTTAAAACCTATGATTTTTTTTATCCAATTAAAGTCATTCAAATATTAAATTTTTCAACAACAATTTTTTGTTTTCTATTTTTTTAATATTATTCTTTTTTCTTTTTTGAATGATATCATTCATTTTTAATTTCATATTCCTAAGGAGATAATTTTCGGAATATTTGAAGTATTATAATCGAATTATGAACAAGTAGTTAATTAGTTATAACTTACAAGTACCTATTTAAGTTTTAACAAGCGGACGATATACTCATGTAGGAGATAGCATTTCATTGGCATAATTAAACAAACGTCATAAATTATTAATATCTTCTAATCTTTTCTCGCCATTTCCGCTCTCCAAATAATTAAGAGGATGTCAGCGTACTATTTGTTTTATCTCTGACCCATGTACTGCTAGTGCGCTACACACTAAATTTACGTTCAGCAGAGTTAATCTCGTATTAACTTTACTATTAGAGTGAATTGATGTAGTATTATACTATTATCAAACTTAAAGTTCGAACATTATCTGTGTTTGTACGTTGACTGTTATACGATATTCAACTTTTCTATGATAGAATCAGCATTTTATTATATTATTGTATTGTATTACATACTCAAGTACTTAGTTTGTTCTGTTATACTCACTGCCAAAATCCTCTTAAGTAGAATTACATGTCATAAAATTGTTCAGAAACATTAAAATTTGATTTCGTATAGTCTGTATATTGAATAATAAGAATTCTATCATTGAAATTATTTCATATGTATTAAACAGGATTAAAACGATAATTCGAAATAAAACCGTTCATGTAAATGTAATAAAAAAATATTTATCATCAGAATAGGTCATAATTTTTAAGTTTTTGACACTGAATCTCGATATCTCGTTATTTACTCCCCATAAATTAAACAATATTATCTAAATTTTGCTATAGGAAAAACACACACATGCACGACCATAGGTCATTTTTAGAGATAACAATTTTATTTTTATATTCTAATATGTACACAAGGTGATCCATTCAAATGTCTACACATCATGTGTAACCCATCTAATTCGATTTTTTTTTGAAAATATTATTTTTACACAAATTGAAATTACTGAAAAACAAAAATACTTTTTTAATTAATTATTTCTAAGCACTAAGCAGAATTATATAGAATAAAGTACTTTGATACATATAAAACTTTCGAATGAGTAGTTTAGTTATAAGTAGAGATGACGTTTGGATTTTTTTTCCTTTGATCCTATAAAATGCTATTTTAGCTAAAAATTTGTTTCATGCTCTTTAAATTCGAAACATAATAATTTTATTTTAATTTTTTTGCATTTTTAAACATTGTTCACTATAAATGCACTTTTTGTTTTTTACCGTAATTTTTATATTATAGGCCATTTTTGTAGTTTTTGTACAATGTGTCGACTTTTTCACGAATTTTAGATTTTAAAGAAAATTTGTTTAAAAAAATAGTTGTATTATTATGATTATTGGTGGGTTTGACAAACAATCAAAACTTAATTTAATTTTTTTTATTTATATTATACTCATTAATTAATTTTTTTTACTGTAAATTAAACTTAAAATTTATATGTTTACGACATTTTTTATAGTCTTTAGGGCATTTTTTGAGGGTTTTTTTTGAAACTATTAAGTCATCAACATCCTTGGCGGCGCCTCGGCGGTTATGCGAAAGCAATTCCCGCGGCGTCGTTGGTTCCAAACTGTAAAAAAAAAAAAGTCATCGACATTCTATCTCTAGTCATAAGTATTTAATGTTAACTATATTATTATACTAATAATTTACTAGTTCAAAATTTGATGTTTATGTATCCAATTACTCGAAAAATATTATGCGTCAAAATATGAAATAAAAAAGGTATGAGGTCATTTAAAAAAAACTATAGCAATAAAAAGTTTTGAAAATATAATTTTTCAAAAAAGATAAAAACTTTTGATTTAATAAGTGTGGACATTTAAATGAATCCCCTGTATATGTATGTTATTATATTTAAATATTTCTCAAACCTAAATAATATGTGTAAACGTTAAAAGTATAGCATTTCCTGTGTTGAGTGAAAAATATTTTTATGTGAGTGTTTTATTTCAACAACTTGTAGATCAATGTGTTCAACTCCTGGGGTATAAAATATTACAGTATAATTATTAGGTATACATCCATATTGTATAAATAGTAAAAAAAAAAATTCGGTGGCCCTACTTCAGAAATTACAATACACTATATACAATAATACTATATACATAGATAAACTTACTCAATTGAGATATACTCATGCTCATATGGGTCATTTGACGAATAATCATTTTCTAATTTCATTTTTAGAGTGTATAGTGTCTACTTATATAAACATTAAATCGATTATTATATATCAACCCTTATGCAACTCTAATATACAAATATATGGAATATGTTCATGTTTTAATTTGAAATCCCTCACTACACATATCTGCAAAAAAGCTGATATATCAATATAGTTATAAAAAGCTTTAAAATAATAATTATTTTTAAAATTGATAATGGTCTTAGATTATTTAAACTCACTTCTGTTAATGAAAAATAATTTTTGAATTGGTTGATTTTAATCTAATAAAGCATAATTATTTTTCTTTCTTGATATATGTGAATCGTGTAAAAAACAAATGCAATACACTGATTATTGTCTACTTTTTAATAAAACACTTGTTTTCCCGATTTTATGTTTCAATCTTTCACTTTATTACATCAAGTTTATTCGGTGTTTATCAAAATTAACGGATTGGGTAAGTACATTGGTGTAACATGAAATATGTCTTACATAATACAGCACCGATTTAAACAATTGTTAAGATTTAATTGAAACAATTACCTAATTTACTAATTAATTCGCGGCAACTTAGGCCATTGAGTGGTTTTGTTTTTTTTTTTTTTTAACTGTGGGGAAGGGTACTGTAGGTATAAACACTTGTGTTTGTTAGTTTGGCAGAATTTTCTAGTAGGCACCCTTAAGTATCTGCCATGCCTGGGTGTGAGTTCTTGAGAGCTTTTCAATAGTTTCAATTAATAGCTCATCTGTTGAATGAATTTTAATTTTAACAAAATTCATCAATGGTAAAAACTAAAAAAAGCTATTTAAAAGGTATAACTTTTTTGATTTCCTAATAATTTTAGTTATTTTAAAAGATACTACAAATAATTAAGATACTTAACTTAATTTGAATCATGCATTTATTTTATGTTAATATTTAAAACAAAAAAAGCTTACAGTGATATAAATTTGACCATGGTTTTGAACAAAAATTTCAATTTTATTTTTAAATTACTCTTATTATATTTTAACTTTATTTTTACTTAAAGTCTGTACGTATAATATCATGGAGGAATTATGTATTATAATATGTTAAGCTGGTTGGATTATACCAGAACAAATACATTTTATCTGGTAAGACTAACCTAACCTATATCTTGTAAACCTATTTTTTAAATTTAAAATTACATATTTAAGACACAGACTTAGTTGACATTCAATGTTACAATACATTCTGGAGAGGGTTAATCTAGCCTCTCACAGGTTATTAAAAATGATAGGCCTCTATTAAAAATAACTGATCAAATTTTATTTAGTATATTTTGGAATAAGCTCTTCATTAGCTAAAAAAGAAAATTCCAATTACTGAAAAATGATTTATTTTGTTTTAAAAAAATTGAATCTTTAATATTGTATTGGTTTAACAATATATAGAAATAAATTGAATGGTTGAACTAAAATTGAATAGACCAATCATGGACTACTAAATTATATGTAGAGGACCTAATGGTCACTATTGATTCTTTAAGGGCCGATTTCACCAACACAGTTAATCACGGTTAACGCTTAATCGGCTGATAACAGATATTTAACCGGCCAAATTCGGCCGATTAAAACTCCGGTTTACTTTAACCGTGATTAACTGTGTTGGTGAAATCGGCCCTAAATGTCTAGTAATTGTTTATGCAACCTGGCTGTACCAGAAGTTAAACCTAACCTAAGATTAAAAAATAAATAAATAAAATCATTAATAACATATATACTTACTTATATATGTAATATACTAGCTGATCCCGTACACTTTGTTTCCCATTAAATGTATCAACTCTATATTACTCAAACTTGGTTCAATTCGTTATTTAATATTCGTTGTATGGTGTTCAACATTTATCTTAACTTTTCTGTTGCCCGGAATAAAAATTCTGGTTCTCAGCAGAACATTATCAGGTAGGTAATCTACCTGCGGAAAATCGCGGACCCTGTGCTGTTTGTATAAATTTAACCCTTTGTAAATTAACCTATCTTCTTCCCAGAGGTCTAATCTACCCACAAACATTAATTTATATTACTATAAAATACACAGACTATAATTATACAGACTAAACTCTGAAACTACTTATCAGATCTTCTTATATATTATATTATATATATGTATATTGACAAAAGATAATAATACAACTCAACAAACATGCCCGATTAACCAATAGCAACCAATATATTATACACCGGTGGATTTTCCTAAAATTTTCTTTCATATAAACCTAATCAGTAAAATACTCTTTTGTTAAAAAAAAATTGAAGAATATCTGATAAGTAATTCCAGTTTAGCCTGTATAAGGATTTTCATTTCAAATTTTTATAGTTAGATATATTATTATATTATATTATAATTTATATTTAAAAAGTAAAGCAAATAATTTTTTTTTATTATTATTTTTATTATTATTATTATTATTATTATAGTAGCTTAAAAACCCATGGCAACCATTTATAAACATAAATTTCCATCTGAAATCTGAAAATTCCTGTTTGAGCACATCCCGGGGTTGGTCATCTCCCTTTTTAAATTAGCCTATCTTTAAAGTTCGTCCAAATTACACACATTAAAAAACTTTGTCAATATCGGTCCAGTAGTTTCGGAGTTTATCCCGGACAAAGACATGACACGAGATTTTTATATATATTATATAAGAATATTATATTTATAAATTAAATCGATTTGTTTACATAAATGGTTTTATATACAATTTTATTGATAATTTAAATATTTCCAATTTTTAAGTTTAATTTGATTTATTTTAGGACGGATCAAAATTATCTTCTGTTTCGGAAGCTGAAGTTCGTGCCGCGTTTACTGCAAGATTAGGTGCACCACTTACTGGTCAAATGTTGTCAAGTACATTGCCATATTATCCTACGCTTCCAGGTAATTATTAATGTAACATAAATTAATAATATTTTAGAATTTCAAAATAAAATACATAAATCTGAATAGAATCCAAAAATAAATTTAGTAACCTAGTTAAAATATTATTAAATCTATTATTGGATATTTAAATATATTTTGTAGTGCATATTTAAAATTTATATTGATTATATAGTAATGGATAAATCTCAAAGTTTCATTCAAAAACAAATGCGAAGTCTCGAGTCCAGACAAACTACTACTATTCCATCATTTCATCCTGCACCTATTACTGACACTCAAGTGGCACATGCTAGGTTGAATAAAGCTGGGCACAGACCACTGGGTCGTACGCAGTCAGCACCGCTACCTCTTGGGCATCCAATGTTGAACAGCACTATACCAGGTCAACAACTAAGTGTTCATTATGAAGATTACGAATTACCACTTCAACAACTTAGCACACATTATTTGAAACAAGTACATTTTTTAAAATTTTGATAAAAATATATTTTTATTATTAGGTATTAATAATTTTAAAAATATTTTAGCAAATTCGTCATACTGTTTTGACTCGAGCTGGAAGTCGGGCGCATTTGGCTAATAACAGTAGTTTAATTAATGAAGACCAAGAAGATAATGCAAAGGTATGCCATAATATATTATGTACAAAGTAAAAACTGCATATTAATGTATACGTTTATAAATATAGGTGATTGATTTAACTGGTGGTCCAAGAACATCCACAGATAATGGCTTGAAAAATAAAAGTCAATCATTTTTACAACAACAACGTGACCTAATGATGCGACAAACATCTCAATCCAATGATAGTGTGTTATAATTCAAATATAATAATATAAATATGTTTTTTTGACTAAACATTTTGTTTTATTTTACAGTTTCACTTTTAGCAAATCGGAATACACATGTTACTCTTCCTTTAGTTAGAACATATTCCAGTCCTTTAGATGCTACCGTAAGTACAGGAGGCATTAACTCTGACACATCAACATCATCATCATCACCATACCTTTCATCTACTAGCCTTAATTCTTCTGGCACTAAACTATCAGCGTGAGTGTCTTAAAACAAATACATTTTTATTGCTGTGTTAAATATTAATTTTTATTTAATTCTAGAAGTCCACACCGGCCTAATACTGGTCTAGCATTTGACAGTTTGATGTTGAAACATGCTTGCAAATGTGGCAACAACGCTATACATCCAGAACATAGTGGACGGCTTCAAAGTGTTTGGGCTCGATTGATTGAAACAGGATTAGCTAGACGATGTGATAAGTTGAGACCACGCAAAGCTACAATCGAAGAATTACAGACATGCCATACTGAACCACACACTCTTTTATTTGGTTGGTTTTGTAGAAACTATTTTATCTAACAAGTTTTATTTTTGTATTTTTTTTAAAATTATTTAAACAGGTACAAACCTTGCTAGTCGTCAAAAAATGGATAGTTCTAAATTAGCAGAATTGCCAGTAAAAGCATTGGTACGATTGCCTTGCGGTGGATTAGGTGTAGATTCGGACACTACTTGGAACGAATTGCATACAGCACCAGCTGCTCGTATGGCTGTTGGTTGTGTTATTGATTTGGCTTTTAAAGGTAGTACACATTTTTATAAGAAAAAATTTTCTTTTGTTTATTATGATAAAAATCTAACATACAATTTTGTAAATAGCTGCCCTGGGTGATATAAAAAATGGCTTTGCTATTGTCCGTCCACCTGGTCATCATGCGGAAGCTAATCAAGCTATGGGATTTTGTTTTTTTAATTCAATTGCTGTTGCTTGTCGTCTGTTACAACAAAGACAAGCCGTACGACGTATACTTATTGTTGATTGGGTACGTTCAATGTATATTTTTATTGAAAAAATATATTTTATAATATTTTCATTACAATATTTTTATAGGATGTTCATCATGGTAACGGTACACAACAAATTTTCTATGATGATAGAAGTGTTCTATATTTATCTATTCATCGACATGATGAAGGTAACTTCTTTCCAGGAACTGGTGCACCTGGTGAGGTAGGTATCTTAAACATTTTATATAAATGTCATACTTACATTCTGCTATTTGTATATTATAACTTAGTGTGGAGCTGGCAGTGGTCTAGGATACAATGTGAATATTGCATGGAGTGGTGGTCTACAACCTCCACTAGGTGATGCTGAGTATTTAGCAGCTTTTCGAACAGTAGTAATGCCTATTGCTCGGGTAAGGAATAAAGTCTAGATATTCAGCTATAATCATTTTATCATTATCTTACATTTCAGGATTATGCTCCAGAAATCATCTTGGTATCCGCTGGTTTTGATGCGGCTTCAGGTCATCCAGCTCCATTGGGTGGATATAATGTAACCCCTGCTTGTTTTGCTTACATGACACAACAGTTAATGCAAATTGCAGATGGAAAGGTACATTTTTATTTACTTTTTGATCCTTAAAATTAATTAGTCAATATTTTTTATTTATAAATAACATTTTGCATAGGTAATTTTATCATTAGAAGGAGGATATGATCTGACTGCAATATGTGACAGTGCAGAAGAATGTGTACGTGCACTGCTTGAAGATGAAGTGACACCAATTGTACAGTCTGAGCTTCATCGGACCCCTTGTCAAAACGCCATAAAAACATTACAGAAAACCATCGCAATTCAGGTAATTAAAAGAAATCAAATTAGAGTGCCAGTCAAATATTGGTATATTAATATTACATTTTTTAATTTAATAGTTACCCCACTGGCCTGTGTTAAAAAAACTAGCTCACACAGTATCGTGCAGTGCTGTGGAAGCTACTTTATGTGAAGAAAATGAAACAGTGAGTGCTATGGCTTCATTATCAATGACCAGGCATAGAATCCAGTAAGTTATTTAATTTAATATCTATGGTAGTCATACACCCTGAGATTATATGTGAATTTTGGGGAGAGAAAAATCAATGCAATTAAAATAAACTTGTCGTTTCATTTTTCCTGTCTTTTCATTTTTGGTTACGATTTTGTTAGTTATTTTTATTATTACGGTTTTTTATATTAAGATGCATATTGTTGTAACCTTGGAAACCCACGGGCCGCACAATTATATTTATAGGTGTACAATTTACACGTTTATTTTAATTAATATATAACTCAAATGTTAATTAACTTAGACAAATGCTCTTGCGATAGGAACCTTCTCCGTAATATAATCTTTCATTAAAAAAAAAAAATTAAGACAATCGGTCGAGTCATTTCCGATAACATTAGCACTAAAGATGTCGTTTCATTTTTCGTTCCAATTTTTTTTTTACCCACACCTCAAGCAAGAAGTTTTACTTCGAAAATCAATAATACGTCTTGTAAATAAATTTGTTTTAGAAGTTCAGAACCTAGTGAAGAACCGATGGAAGAAGACTGCGAGGATGATAAATAGATGTTCGTCTAGTCTATTTTGAGCTAATTAATTACACTTTGTATTATTCAATATTGTTTCATTGTGACCTAGCCTGTCAACAACTAAAAAAAATAGTCCCCTATGCTGTGACTTAAATAAGTTGTATCTTGTATATTGCATTAAATACAGAAGTATACGAGTTAAATTACTATTTAGATCCTTAAATATTGACGCAATTGTTTGGTTATCTAATGATCAATTTTTTTAATATTTTCATTATCCCTTCCCCATATGTATATTTATAATATATTTATTTATATAAAACATTCCAAATAATAATTCTTAACACATAAAATTATTCCAAAAATTATGTTACCTGCGTCATAACGTAAAGTAAAATATTGTTTAAAATATATATATTTTTAATTTGTTATTGTTTTAAATATCTATATTAGTCTTATTTGAACACATATTGATATAAATATATATAATATATATTAAATGTTGTGATAACTGATAATTGTTAAAATTTTATTTTTTTTTGGCCAGATTTCACTTCTGGACACCTTTAAATATAATTTACGTTTTGCCCTTTCTATTTATGTAAATACCAAATATTAATAAATATTGAGTTGGAGTTATATGTTTACTAGTCGTTTATAATATATATTCATATTGATATAATTATTATAATTTATCATCATTATCATTATTATAATTACTATTATTATTTTATTATTATTACTTTCGTTATGATTATTTAGTCTATTTTATAAAAAAAAATTGGCTCTTGATGTTTCAACTTTTAAATTTCAAATTATTGTTGATATTACAGAATATTTATGGGAATTAATGTTTTAGTATTTGTTGCATATTTATATAATATTTCTGTGAACGCCTTTCTTGTGGCTTGTTGAAAATAGTATTATGATAGTTTGAGAATCCTGTTTAAACATTTGATGTGTAATTCTTATAGATGTATAATTATATTATTATGAGGATAAATGTTAAAATTGATGTGATAATATTTTGTTTTTATTTTAAACTTAGTATAGATTAAATATACTTAAATGGGCAACATACTATATAAGATTACTTTCTGTTCCTCGTATTGTTTATTATTTTAATAGTAGACATCAATGGTATAAAAGATTGTATTCTCTAATAAAAAAAAAAATTAAATTTGTTTGAATTGTATTCATATTCATTGTATAGCCTTCGATGTGTAATGATAGTGTTGCCGATTTAGGTTTAATTAATCCATAATATACATACAATGTTATTATTGAGCGAGTGCAAGAAGAAAACTAGAATTAAAATCACAAAAATATTAATTTAATTTTTAATTTTTTACATAATGATTAAAAGTATATTATGTCAATTAATAAATGCTTTATTTTATTAATACTAAACTTTGGTGTATATTTTAAGAATAATATTCTCATTTATCAGATCACCTTGCATTTTCTACAGTTGTGTGTAGTGGTTATGAATTTGTTTTATTATTATGTGTACAGTGCTTATTCTAATTGTTAACTTTTGTTGTATTCTTTCTTTTGTTACTGTTTAAAAAAAATGGTATTGCATTATGTTAAATTCATATTTGTCCAAGTGAAGTAAATGTTTTTTTTAAATGTAATAATTATCTTGACTTTGTATGTTTTTCATTTGATTATTCATCGTGAAATGGATTAAATAGCTATTTAGTTCAAATTGAATTTGTATTAAAATGTAATTTTAAATCCTAAGCAATCAACATGTTTTTCCCTTGTATACAGATTACAGTTAGAGTGTGTAATAATAGATCAATCTTTTAATATCATTATTTTCTGAGGATAAGAAAAACTGTTTAGATCTATTCTTCAAAATTGCAAGCATGGATTTAATTTAACCAAGCTCTGATTAGAATCATATTTTTGAATATAGTTATTAGTTATTCCTTTTAAATTTAAATTTAATATCACAACATAACCAGTAACCAGTAAATTGGGCAAAATATAAGGAGTGTTCAAATTTAGTAGTTTATCTACCATTATTATTATCCAAGGGATGCTATAGATTTTTGAAAAATAAACGGCACTTCAATTTTATATTTATAATATGTATAGATAGTTGATGTAACTAAATAATATTACGGAAACATAATTTATGTCTTCTGATGTAGATTCCGGGTGCTCGAGTAAGATCTTACTGAAAGGTATCTGGCCCAGTATTCTACAATAATAAACTTTCTTTTATCAGCTTTTAGTCTTTGTCTAAAGTATTTTTAAGTTATAGTACCTACTTATTATGTAACATTGTCGAATGTTCAACTGTCCTCTGGTTCATGTGTGGACACTGGCTACATGTTGATCCGGTCCTGTGTGCTATACAGTACAGACAGTACAGTAGCACATCATGACCAGTATGTGTACTCGAGCGCATCAAATTGTAATACAATTGTTAAAACATCAACCATGACAATTGACAATTAAGTGGAGAAACCCCTAGAAAGTGTTACGTCCCAACTGACGTCGATATATAAATCAACACAGAAAAATTGAATACGCGATGTATTTGGTTATGTTGTGTGTTTATTAACAATATTTAATACAAAATCACAGTGTATAAGCTGTGGTAGAGAGGTGAGCGGGGTTACGACCTAACTCTGAAATGATAACTAAGACTGTGAGTGGTTTTACGAGTGGTCTTGCCGGTCTTGGGTATCCTTAACCAACGAGCTCTTGTCATAGCCTCTCGTATACAGGGTGTTGCACGATAAATGTGTCAAACTTCTATAGGTGTTTCTACACCTCAAATGGAAAAAAAAAAGCCCTTATGACCCCTGCCTTAAAAAATAATTTTTGTTAGATAAAACTGAAATTTTTTTAAATTTCAACATTATAAAGTTTTAAAACATTATTGTTATTCTTTTCAACCAAAAAAATCAGGTGGGAACCTTGTAAGATATGTTTTCCTAATTCCAATTTTATGAGCTTTTCATCAATGTATTATAATTAATTGTAGTGCCTACGTTTTAGCAGTTATGAACATAATTATGAATCAAACTCGCATTTAACCAAAAAAACAAAAACATGGAAATTATCACCCTTATTATTGATAATTCGATTATGGTCATACGGACTTTTTCTGTTCCATTTGAATTGTAGAAACACCTCTAGAAGTTTGACACATTTATCGTGCAACGCTCTGTATAAAATCACGTCTTTTGGCGTTTGTGGCTAAATGAGGTACTGAGGCAGTGTTGGGTAAGTTACTTTACTTGTTACTAAGAGATAAATGTAATTAAGTTACTTTACATGTAACTCAAACAAAATTGTAATAAAATTACTTTACTTTTCAAATAGAAAAATAGCTCATTACCTTCTCGTTACAAAAAAAATTTTTTTTTAATTTCTTGGCAATTTTCTTCTGCAGGCAAATTGAACAAGCAAATTCTTTATAAAACCTGTATAGGTAATAGGATCTTATAAAACTTAGTCTTCCATACAAGCTATTCATAGGAATCAAATTAAATAATAAATTGAATTAACTGTTCTCGTGATTTAGGTGCAATTAGACATTTCAAATGTCAAAACTATTGAAAACTGAATTGTGGCGAGTTAAAATTAAACATATATACATATTATTAGATTGGTAAACATAATAATACCCGCATTATACATATTTTTTTTTCAATTTGAAATAGGTTGGTAGGTACTTAATAATTCGAAACTGTAACGTTACTTGGAAATAATTCTAATGAAATTACGTAAAGCGTTACAAGCAAAGTAACACAGTTACAGTAACGAGTTACTTTGGTTACGTTACTGCCCAACACTGTCATGAGACCGAGTTCAGGTCTCGTACTATACTATTATACTAACCTATACTCTATAGGTATTCCTGTCGACTCGCATCCTTCCTTGCGAGTATTGAGACTTTCCCGAGGAGAGACGGGTGACAATACTTTTATAGCTTAATTGTTTAATACTGTGTTCGCTACGCTCTTGCAACGACCTCAGCATGTTATGTTATACTAATTTCCTTATTAGTTATATCGTCAAATACTACTATGGTAACGTGTGTACATAGGTAATAATTAATAAGTACGTAACAGTAGCATAAAAATTACGTCTGCGGAAAATGAGTACCTACCTCTGTAGCTTGCCGCAATGTGAGACGTAAATCCTTCCTTAAATTTGGAGAGCTCATAAAGTCGTTATTGTTAGGTATTATTTAAATATTATTTTGAGAATGGCCGAAACGTTTGTGTTCGGCGGTGTGGCATCGCATTCCTTTTAGATTTCTAAATTGTCTGACAACGCCGCTTGCTTGGCCGAATGCAGAACGACACTCAATAATCGGCCGGTACCCCTAATTAAAATTATAGCAGAAGGCACCTAAATATTATTATTTTGAATTAATGACCGTGTATCTCGACGGTCTCGTGCACGTAATATTTTTGTTTTCACTCTCTCGTTTCAATTCCGCTGCCGCGTACTATCCATAAATGCATATACGAATCGGGTTTAATTATTATATTTTACAGAACCCGTATGAGGGTATAACTGTATACAATTTACATATTTTCCCGGCCGGAATTTGAAAGTTAACTGACCGCTAATAACGAAACCGGTATAGTTTCCGGCGCGCGTGTTCACAGATTAACCTTGACCTATACGATCCGTAACAACTATTACATATTATCACGGATACCATAATGAGTTGGGTGTATCTGTAACTATACATAACTACAGGTGTCCACCCTACCTACAACAGTCTACTAAGGCTGCGTGCCTGCATAATATTATATATGATCATAATCGTGAGCTGGTGGCGTTCTTGGCAAGAGAGAAGGCGGCGGCGGTGAACTTCAAAATCATAGCTATTGCCACTTACGGATAAGTATACCTACACCTACAGGCTGGTGTGTTGGTTATAGTAACACAACGCAATTATAAAAGTCACGCATTTCTGTAGCAGTATAGTGGTATCGACGACGTTACTTCGTAACGTGTTACTATGGTAGGCATTTCATTTCGTTGAAAAATTGTACAGGGGACGAATATGCTGTAATGAAAATTAATTTTTTGTTAAGTGATCATTCCTGAAACACAACGAGTTACGACTGTTTCGAGTATCGAAAATTGAAATACAAAATGGTAATCGAAAACAATAATAATTGGTACCTACTACCTGCCTGGGCGGTTCCATTTTCCTCCACATTATTTTAGACCGAAATTATGTCTATTTTCCACCAGTATTTTAGTTTTATACGTTCCATATTGTAAAGACAGAGTAAGGCTATAGGGCTTGCAAACGTTATAATAACGTAATGATTATATCGTTATATTTGACAAAAAAACGATTGAAACTTGTAAACGTAATTATAACGGAAAGTGATAGTTAAAAGTAATTAAAAACCGCAAAACAAAATATATTGTAAATCATTAAAGAAAACATAACGCAAAAAGTAATATTTTTTTTTTTTTATTTACTACTTTTCTTATTACAAAGTAAAGTAATACCAAAAACAATATGTTATTTGAGCAACGAATAGAGAAACTCACTAAAAATATATCTATTAGTCAATAGTGTAATATTTTTTTATAATAACTTATCATACCCTAATACGCTGGGCATGTTCTATTAAAGAACACCTATTAGTCAGTAATACGTCAAATGACAGGCGAAACCCTTTTCAATCAAATTTAAAAATGGTCGATTCCCTTTACGATCAAAATCATAAACTTCCCTTTTCGTAAGATTCATTGCTTGACCATACCAAAAAGTTTAATATTTACTTTATTTTATGCATTTAGAAAATATGTATTAAAACCTACATGGTACCATATTAGGTACCTACCTGGCTACTTCTATATAGAATATACAATTTATACCCACAACTTATATTTTTAATAATTTTTGATGTTTATAACAGGAAGTAGGATGATATTAAACTTTTTAGTTTGGTCGAAATGGGAAAGGTACATTTTGGTCGAAAAGTGAATCGACTGAAAAGGAAAGTGTACGATTTTGATCTAAAACAGCCATGCCCCATATGATATACCTATGTTGGGTATTTTTAATTTCATGTGCACTATACTTAGGTACATAACTTAATTAATTTATGAATAAAAATATTCCAGCGGAGTGCAATATCAAAATTAAATTGATGTTTTACATTTGTGCAACGGATACAACACATAAATGAATAGTCATCTTAGGAGATTACAGCACCAACATCTCTTTTTAATAATTTTTTAAACTTGAAATTAGCTAATATATTTGGATAGTAATATTCGATGGAAATGTATGTAGGGGAACCGGTTTTGATTGCAGGGTCCAAGGATGGCGTGGGGTTATGCGCAGAACCGGCATGTTCTCTCGTGGAATAGAATAGTTATATTTATTTTTCCAATTATTATTTTGTTTTTCAAAACATACAAATGTTGCAAGTTTGAGCAGTTAGCCACAGTCAACACACATCATCCATTCCCCAATATTATAATTATTATTAGGAACACCAATCAAGTATTTATTTGTTCGTTACTTCATTCTCAATACTCAATGTTAAAAAACAAGCCTATTGGCATCCTAAAAATTGTACAGATTCATCGGAATTTTTTTTTCATAACTTGAAGGTTTCACAATCGAGTTTTCAATTTAATAGATAATAGTATAGAACACAAATGATATCAGTAAAATGTTTAAAGTTAGGTGCATACAGCACATCTAAAGTTAAAATGTATTTGATGGTAAAGAGATATATAAGTGAATTATTCGTCATGTGATTTGGAAGGTAGTAGCAAATTCATTCTGAATTAGAAGAAAATGTGAAAATGTTATTTGTACCTCTAGTGCTCTCTAGGTGTCTTATATAATATAAGTTTATTGTATATAGTAAAATAATTTACGGCTGTAAATAAATAAAAACATTCATTTTGTAACACAATAAGCTCAACAACAATATTCATATTCACTATGTGTTGTTTGTCATAATTTATCATTATATTACAATTTACCCAAGACTCTCAAATGAAACAAAAAATTCAGATATCTAGCTGTTGAATTTTGTTTTAAATTATACTAAATAGATTCAAAACATTAAAACATAAATAATAGGAATATACACAAAAAAACCATTTAAATATGACAAAATAAAAATGTCTGTATAATTAAATGGATTTTTAATAAATATGTCTTATCAATTTAAGCATTAATTTTTTTTTATTCTCATATGTAAATGTAAAAAAAAAGACAAAGGATTTTGAGATGATTAAAGTTATTTTTATATACTGTGAAACCTGTATATAACGGCCAGGTTCACTGTAATAGTAATATTTTTTAGCACAATTTCTCGATAATAATTTTCATTTTTATAAAATAGTATTAATTGTCAATGTGATTACAATTCAATCAAAATAATTAACTGTTGTATGAAATCAAAAATTTTAAAGCTGTTAAATATAACAACCCTAAATTACAATAAATAAACTACAAAACAGTTAAACATAAACTGTGAAATGGAGACTTCTTTAAAAAAAAAATACACTCGAACAAAAATAATGTATAGGACGATAAAAAAAAAATTCAACCTACGACAAAGTAAAAATATCGGTATAAACAAAAATATAAATTTAAAAAGTTTTGTTTTTTCCTTTTGTCTTAAATGTTAATTAATATATTTTGTACTGATCAGAAAGGTTTGTTAAATCAAATTGGGAATATTTATTTAATCTGTAACTCTACAATATCTGAGACGAGCTTCGAAAAACTTAATAGCTATTTGAGGGGCTTTTTCGTAAACCTCACGGGCGTCAAGCAGATCAGCAATTTCTGAATTTTTCCATGCCATCAAAAACTTCAACTTTCCATCAACATCAGTAGCTCCAACAATAAAATCTGGTGCAAGTCCACGATCAAAACCAACTTTAGCGGGGCCTCTTACTAGAATTGGTTTATTATTATCATCATAAAAATATATATCGTTGCCCAAATCAATAGTTTCATGTTTAATTTCTTTCTTGATGTTAACTCTGTGAAAATAATTTTTTAATTATTATCTAGCAACAATACCTAATGTTAATTAGTTTTATTTTGTAAATCTTAGCTATGAGTTATAATTTATATGATTTATTGCTCATATCCTATGTTTTTACCTACTATATCAGGTACACACATGTACAATAGAAGCAAAAACAAAACAACTCAACTTTTCCGTAACAGACGGAACTAACAAAATTATTTTTAAAAACTCAAACACTGTTTTAATAGATAGCCTATAATTATTAAAATTAATCCAGCCTTACTCCTTTATACATTTTGAAGTTCCACAACAACTTTTCATGTCCCATTCTCATAGAGTACTATTAATAGACCTTATAGTAAGTAGTATGATCTTAGTGTAAGGTCTATGGTACCACCAATTACGTAAAGATGTATGATATCTAATGTCAATACGAATCCCCCACCTTTCTTATTTAACCACTTACAATTTAATTCACTATTTGCTTTTATTGTTATGTACCTAATACTTTCATTTTCAATTTTATTTATCTTAAACTTTATATCTTTGTTTCTGGATAATCTTTTGTAATTCAAATGTATATACCTGTAATTTTTACTTGTTAATAGTAATCCTGTTAAAAGGTTACATTCATATACATTCATAATAATAAAATAAAATATAACATTCAAAATCTTTTAATAATTATGATTAAATAATATAGTATTAGCTGTCCAAACCCTGTGTTGCCCGTGCCAAAATTTATTTTTACGGAACTACATTAGAACCTTGATTATCCGTGCTCACTCTTCCGAAAATTAAAAAATAAGTATGGACTGTAGATATATATGTAGTTATAATCGAACATTTTATATTACATAATACAGAATATCGACAATCGTATTAATGACATTTTTGACAATAATAATATGAAGATAGGCAATATTGTACATCAATTATTATATTTATCGAATCACCTTCAGTTTGCTTTTGTCCTTCGCTATGCTATTGCCAAACGTAACGTGCGGTATAACGTATTAATCTAATAAAGAGTGCTAAACGAAAACGTGTCATTCTTTCTCTAGAGAAAAAAGTGTTGATTATTAACCGGGCTGTATATCATGGTGAAAGTGTTATATTGAATCAAAATTTTTAAAATTTTATTGTTATAAAATTGTACCTATGTATTTCTAATTATAATTAAATAAAAAATTTCATTAATATAAAGTCTCGATTAACCGTTTTTCATTTATCCGTGTGACCCCCTTCCCATCATTACCCCAGATAATCGAGGTTCCACTGTAGTATTATATGAAAATAAACAGATTTTCAAGAAACAAATCTTTCTGCCAATATATATTTATTAAACTCTGAATTGCTTGTAAATGTAATTCAAGTAGTTCAGTTAATCAAAAATATACATCTATAATTTATTATATTTCTGAAAATATTAGAAAACAGGCAAATAAATAATTTCATAATAAATTATAATATAATATTATTAAATAGTAAGCTTTAAAAAAAAATGGGCGAAAAAATATTTGTTGTTGATTTAAATATTTTTTTCGCCTCTGCGTCTTGAGGTGACAATTTACCGCCACCATCAGGACAAAAGAATTATTTTTTCCGCCACCGCTACAGCTTGTGGGTATAGGGTACCTCATTACCTTAGTATCTTACACACATCGATAGTGCATTAAATTTTTTGTTTTACATCGATGTGATAAATAATAATATTAACATAAACCAAGTTTATGATTTTATGAATATTACATTGTACAAAAAATAACGGATACATCCAGGGGTTAAAGTGGGGGGGACGCAGGGGGACTCATTCCCCTACCGCAGACGTCGGTTAAAAAAACGTCCCCTTTAACAAATGAGGATTTTGTACATTAGACATTGTACATACAATTATGTATGGAACGCTTAAGACTAAGAGTGAGGTCACACGAGCGTTTTATTAACGGACGTTACGACGGACGTCATGAAGTCCGTTGTTGAAATTCATTACAATCATACCTAGCAGCCACACATACGACGTCCGTTGGATTTACCGTCCGTTCGACGTTGGCGATACGCAAGATATGCTATAACGTCCGTTACGATTACGTCCGTCGTAACGTCCGTTAATAAAACGCTCGTGTGACCTCACTCTAAATGGAGATATTAGTCCCCGCTGAAAATTTTTCCCACTTTAAGCCCTGGATACATCGTTAAAAAATAAAACAATGAATTATATAGTTGCTATCGGGAATCACCATCGATAGTAACCAAATATCGATATACTTTGCTTACATATCGATTTATCCCGCGCACACGTGTTTAAGCTACATAACAACAACAATAAACACGGACGACACGGTGCGCGCCAAAAATTGTTATTGTTGTTAGTAATTATTATCATTGTTATTAATCATTATTACCTAGAGCCGTTGCCGCCTGTGGCAGCAGAACCGTATTCCCTTGAACACCCCGGTCTGTTATAAGATCTTGGACGCGCCTTGTTTCGGAAGTTTGAACGCTTTGGCACGTGAGTTTTGAATGAGGGGCGGGCAGTGTTGACGCCATTCTTGGGCGGCGGTGCGGGCATGGCGTCTTCCTTGGGCGGCGGTGCGGGGATGGCGTCTTCCTTCGAAGGCGATGCGAGGCCCACGTCAATGTTTGGTGGCGATGAGGGACCAGCGTCGTTGTTTGGCGGCGGTGCGGGACCAGCGGCGTCATCCTTTATCAGCGGTGCGGGATCAGCGGCAGCGGCGTCATCGTCATTTGACGACATTACAGCATTCATCATTTCGGCTTCGTCGTTCGGCGGCGGTTGTACTAGGCATGCGGCGGCGTCGAATTTTGGCGGCTGTTCTGTAGAGAAGTCGTCGGTATGGTTTGCCGGAACAATGATTTGCTGATCATTCGACATGGCAGCGTGTTTGCAGACGACCTTTGTAATATTGATTCAGTGCGCGTGTTTCCCACTTTTTTTTTCGAGAGTCGCGGACGGCGGCAATGGTGTCCAAAACAACACGAATGAGCAATGAGACCTGTTAAAAATAATAATTATAAATAATATTAATGTTATACTTATATTAAACGTGTAGTGATCATTAGCTATTACTACCGTAATGGCGGAGCGCTGAGTCGGATGAGGTACAAACAATAGTCGGTCAAAAAATGGTCGCTCCGTACGACCGTTCCTGTGTGTCAACGTGAAACTAATGTCTGACGTCTGAGCGCTGCAGGTCGCTGTGGACTGTTGTAGTGCGGTGAGCCGGCCGCCAGGATCATGATGGTCGGGGCGGGGAGAGGAAAGGAGAGAACGATATAGATAAAGAAAAACAACGTCGTTTAGGTTAGGTACATACACAGATTATAATGTCCGTGGGAACATAATATTATTATAACAAAGAAATCGAGCGATGGGAATCTCCAATTTTTTTTGTGTGTGTCACAGACGTATATACATGTATAACATATACGTCCGTTGTGTGTGTACAACATATACCTATTATGAACTAATGGACAGCGCTTCCTACACCGCACTGCCATTGGCTAAATCAGACAATATAACTGAGAGAGAAAACAATATAAGAGCATATGAGAATGAGAGAGAAAAAAACATGTTTTGTGTTATACGTTAAAGTACACTGTAACGGCCAAAAACCTCTCTTTTCTCTCTCAACAATCCCCTCTGGTGATTTTTCTCTATATGTGCTGTCCGTTAATTTATAGGTCTTATAAACTCTTTGGTGTGTACACTCGTCGCTCGCACACTATTGGTATAGCCGTTTGTAATGCTGCAGCTGAAAAGTGAAAACATCGCCGCCGAACGAATTATTTAACTGTTGGCTGTTTGGTGGCGGGACTGCGGGAGAAGTGCTGGTTTACAACCATTTTTGACACACGAAATGTGTACTGCAGGTTACTAGTTAGTGTATACCTACAGTGTATCCCATAACATAATATCTTCTTTACGACAAAAACAGGAGGGAGCGTCAAATGGCTGCTCTGGTCTAGACATTTTTACTAATACGGGTGTTATATCATTCCTTTTCTTGCACTTATAATATTATTTTTCATTATATTGCATATACTCGGACACTCGGTGCTTTTTGCTATTCGCTTATCGCTGGTCAACAATAGTCTATAATAATTAATAATTAATATTACATGAGTCTCCAAACTGTGGACCATGTTTGGTCCATCGATTACCGATACGTTTTTACAGGCCTGCTAAGCCCGGATAAGGCGCCAACTGCAGTAATGAGCAAATAATCCAAAACTTAACTTTTCGAAAATAAAATATTATGATAATAATATCAACAATATTATATTACTTACCTATATTGATTTAAGATGTTTATGAATGATATTAGTATAGTACACATTTAATATTATTAAACATAACTCACAAACTCAGCAGTCAAAAACTCGTCGTTCTGGTATTTGTACGTTTCCCCCCCACGGATTTTAGCAGTACTGGATGTTTCTACACTTGGTTGAGGAATTTCCCCCCTAAATCAAACAAAACATATATTTTTTTTACACATAATAATATGTTGGAAAATAGTTTTTTTTTATTAAGCGTTGCTTAACGTTATTTTGATTGTAGGGGGGAGCAACAGTTGGTGGAAAGAAACACGTTTATTGTAGCTAAACATCCTAGATGGTCACCCATCCGGGAGCTAGCAACACCGGCCGATACGTACACTCAGAGCATTTCCGCAGATGAGTGAGGGCTAGTCGAATTGCATTTATTAGGTACCTAAATTAAATGATCGAACATTCGAACTGCAATCAGGTTCAAAAAAGGGTTATCAACAAAAATGTTCAAAAAAAAAGTTAACTGAAACGTTTGTTAGACACTTTAATCATTGGAACACTAATTATTATTATTATTATTTTGTACTTTCAAATTGTACTTACATATTATTATAATGTATACCTACTACAAATATAATATATTATTTAATGAAATTATTTTTTGTAGAAATTATGAGAAAATGAATTATGACGTATTATTATATAGAACAGATGTGTTCAAAAAATAGAAAATGTTTGGTTTTTCTTAAGATACAGTATTACAATCTACAATAAACCGGATACTCTGATATCAATAAAAGTTTAGATTAATGTGGCTTAGGTGAACCTACATGAATATTTGACAGTAGGTACCTACTTCTATTTTATTTTTATAACATAGTACCTACTACTTAATATACGCTTTTCCTTATCGCTATGTGTAAAGATTTCGTATATTATAGAAATTATTAAAAGTGAACGAGGCCGTGACTTAATTGTGAAACAAAATAATTATACATTTTATAAAGATAAACATATTAATGAAGGTGTTACATGGCGTTATACTCATCGTGGTTGTCTTTCAAAACTGTGTGTTAATGACATTTCTACAGTTATTTTTCGATGAGTTAATACATGAACACGAAAAATCGAGTAATTTACCAGTTTACCACGAAAAATGATTTCAAATTCAGCAGAGAGAAAATCAGACCGTAAAAAATTATTGGAGAAGACATTGTCAACGCTCCTGCAGAATTAACACAACTAATAAGTGATTCGTATATCGTAATTAAGTTTTTGTCCCAATTAGATGTGGGCACGGGAATGTTTATATAATATAAATAGGTACTCGTAATACTATTGTCAGAGCACTGAATCGCTGCTGAACGTGATAACTGATATTAATATAAACGACCGGGTTTAGTAGAAACATTGGAAAATAATGATTAATGTTCTAAATATATTTGAATTCGATAAAATGATATTTTGTCGAGTTCATTGTTTCAACTTTCATTCGTTATAATCTGATTCCCTGATGTCTGATGATAAACTGTTTTTGGTTATTTTTTTTGTTTTAAGGAGAAGTTTTGATACAAAAAACACATAAATTATTAGATGGTGCTAATTTTCATATTGGGGGTGCTAATAGCCCCGAAGCCCCCTCCCTATTTTTGCCTATGAAACTAATTAATTTATAGGTTGAAAACAGTATTAATAATTTACTAAAAATTACCATTTATTCATCAGAGCTAGTTGTTGCTTATTTTGACAGCTCTACATATTTTGTAGACATTTCAAATGTATATAGTTCTTATGTTTTTAAATTTTAGATTCTGAGTGAAACAATGAATGTATTGATTTTACAATGATGTGTGTTCTTTTTTTTAATTTTTTAATTTTTTTTTGTGTCTGTCATCACGTTTTAGGACAGTTAAAGTGCTTGGATTTTCTTCAACAGTAGCTTTTCTGATAGGAAAGTGAATCTAGTTGGTACTTTGGGGGGTCAAAAGTGAAAATTTCACAGTAGTTTCCAAAAGCGGAGTGAAAAACGAAATAAAAATTAAGGAAAAACGGGATTTTGGTTTTTGGGGCAACTCTTAAACAATAAACGACCGTAGGTACATGACATTTTGACTGTATATTTATATTAGCATTTTCTATACACGATAACATTTTCAAAATGTTTGATTTATTTTGAACTGTTTAGGGACATTTTCATTTTACATTTTTTTTTTAGTTTTTTTCCTAAAAATATCAATAAAATTTTATTTGTTATTTAAAAAAGCTTGAAAATTTAATAGAAGGCTCCTAGTATATGTTTTTAAAGGCATTTGAAAAATATTAAACATCCTTAGTCACAGTTTTTTTTTATAAGCTTTTAAAGTTAAAAAATTGACAAAATATGGAAAAATCACAAAATTTAGCAAATTATTTTGAGTTAAGAATTCTTAAAAATTTTCTTTTTAAATCTAAAGTATTAAAATGTAATACAAGATTCCTTTTAAGATTATCTGCCTTAATCAAAAAAAAAAAATTGCGTGCTTAGATTTTCTTCAAAAGTATCTTTTCTGATAGGAAAGTGAATCTAGTTGGTACTTTGGGGGGTCAAAAGTAAAAAATTTCCAGTAGTTTTCAAAAGGGCCGCGAAAAACAAAAGAAAAATTAAGGAAAAACGGGAATTTGTACGAAAAATCTGTTATGGTTTTTGGTGCAACTCTTAAACAAATTACCTTATGTACCTACATGAAATTTTGACTGAATGTTTATATTAGCATTTTCGATGCACCGTAACATTTTCCAAATATTTTGACTTATTTTGAGCTCTTTACGGACATTTTCAGTTACCATTTTTTTTCGTTTTTTTTTTCTATAAATATCGATAAATTGTTATTTGTTGGTTAAAAAAGTTTAAAAATGTAATGCAAAGCTCCTGATATATTGTTACAACTTACAATAGCAGTTGAAAAATATTAAAAATACATTGGCACAAATTTTTTTTATAAGCATTTAAAGATCGAATTTCTACAAAATTTATCACATTTAAAATTTAATAATAATTTTGTGGTTAAAAATGTATAAAATGTTAAAGCTTTTATAACTGAGGATTGAAAATTTAAAACATGGTTCCACGTAAATAGTTTATACATAAATTAATTTATTCACAATAATATCATCAAATATACTTAGTAATATAAATATATCATAGGCTAACTGACTGTCTTTGCTCAGAATCGTTTTTCTTATAAAATGATATTATATCATTGAATTCAAATTTAAATTACAATGGCTCACTTGTAACCAGGGCTAGATTTAGAATAAGTGCCACCCCGGGCCCTTTTAAATAAAAATAAAAAATGTTGTAATTGTTTCTAATAAATTAATTTCATTTTAAAGAAATTAGGTCAATACCTAGTCATTATAAACAAAACAAATAATTATAAATTCTAATCGATTTATATACTCTGAACCACTAAAACATTTACGACCGTCACTCATGTTGAAAAAATGCTAAATGCTGTAAATTTAAAACGTGAATTATTAATTCTTAAATATATTATGTTGTCGTAATATGCACTGCCCGACAATGACGTCGAACAATAAACTGAAATTAAGTGTGGTCGGTGGGCGACGTGGATATACAATATCTCTAGCCAATTTCTATATATTATATTATATTATTATCGTAATTACTTTTAGGAACAACTTATATTATGTACCTAGGTAGGTATCTATCTAAGGTATCTTAAATTTATAGCTCACATTACGAGAAAATTGATTTCGTGTTATTGACATTTTCAGTGTCATGCGCCAGTATATTTTACACACAGATATCTATACCTACTATAATATTAAATATTATTTATATTACTATTAAATATTGTATAATATTAATTTACGCAGTTACATGAATGTATAAAATATTTATATGATTTTTTTTATTTCTTACAAAATTTGCGGCCCTAAGCCCTGAATGTCAGTCAAAGTTCAAATGGGGAATTTTGATCAAAGTGTTTAAAATAACCATTCATGTTTACTAAAAACGTATATCCCCCCCAAATCAAATTCCTAATTACGCCACTGCACCAACCCCTATATAAGTAAAATAAAAACCTCAAGCCCCATACTGTATTTAAAGATAATTAAATAATGAACAATAATGCATTAATATGATGATACACTGGAAAGAATCTATTAAATAGATGTCCGTATAATAATATGGAGGTACCTAACTATAGGCTATAGGTAGTTATAGACTTTATGTACCTACACAATTATTGAAATGGATATTGGTTTATAAACACTTATGTACGATTTACAGCCTCTGTCTTATACCGTCAGTGTAGAGTGTGAGGTGTGGGAGGAAATGCTAATAAATATGACTTTCAATATATATTAAAATAGTGTTTATAATATATTATAATAATGCGTGGGCGAACGATTTTATTTTAAAACGATGTGACATATTTTCGTATAGAGCACGACATCTAATTCACGTTGTCCTGCAACGACTGGCGATCGCGGTCAGACTGCGATTCGACGGTGCCGGTCGATGATGACAGTGACAGCAGGATCGATGGCGTGGTGACCGCGGCCGTAGCCACTAGGTCTGTCTGCACTCGGTCCTCCACCGCAAGCAGGTCTTCTCTAACGACAGCCTGTGCAACGGGCGCTGCAGCTGCCTGGTCTTCGGCGGTCCCTGCATACGACTCACCGCCGTTCTCTTGTATCCATATGGTCAGGTTGTCACGGATAAGTCGCAGGATGAGCGTCGAGTCGTCGTACATGGAATCATCGATGGCGTCTATCTCGGCCACGGCCTCGTCGAACGCGTGCTTGGCCACGTCGTGGCCCTGCCGGCGCTGTTGGCACACCTGATACAGAAACACGGAGTAGTTGAGCATGAGCCCGAGCCGGATCGGATCGATGGGCCGGAGGTTTTTCCGGCCCAACCGGTCGGCTCGCTCGTAGGCGGCCTTGGACATGGCCACCACCTCGGCTCGGTCGCCAGGGTCTTCGATCACCTCGGCCGCGTACCGGTGGTAGTCGGCGCTCAGCTTCCAGTAGAAAACGCCGGTGGCTGGGTCCGAGGCCTCCGGCTGGTCGGACGTCAGCCAGCTGTCGACCACTGTCAGCACCTCGGTGCACAGCGCGCGCAACTCTTCGTCGATGCGCGCGCGATAATGGCGCGCCACCGTGGCCTCCCACGACGTGATGCCGTCCTTCTGCTCGACCGTCACCAGCGTCCGCCTGGACGAGCGTTTAGTGTCCAGCACGTGCTTGTACGCCGCCGCCAGCATGTTGTCCTCGTCCTTGGTCATGGGTGCCCCACACTCAGCCACCTGCCTCATGTACCGGGCCATGTCCTCGAATCGGTTCGCCTCTTGCGCTAGCTTTGCCTTCCACAGGAACTTTTCCTTCGTTTCCATTACTGGCATCTGTTCCACGTCCATTTTTCCGGTGCGTTTGCGCGTGTAAGGATCGACGTTATATTGTGTGTGTGCTCTATCGGTTGTTGGCCTTAATAGGAAATTGTATATTATTATCTGCTGTCGGTTGTATGCTTAAAATTTGTGCGTGTGCTAGTATCTCACTGATAGACGTACTCGTACGTAAAAGGAGTGTATTGATTAGTAAAAAAAAAAGAAATTCAATTTAAAAAAAACAATCGTGAGATTAACGAAATGATTGTTTATTACTCAGCAACGAAAAAAAAAATTTGTACGTCTATATTATATTAAAGGCACTATGCAAGTAATCGATCATACATATTAATATTATATTATAATAATTAATACAAGTGTTCATGAAAATGATAACATTATTCGCTGTTAAATATTTTATTAGATAGGGTTACATAATATGTAATATATAAGCTATGATTTATTATATTTCATAAAAAATACAAATCAATAAAGAAAATCTATACCTAATAGGTAATATACTTATACTTATAGTAATTTAATACTGTACACTTTTCAGTAACTGATAATGAAGTGATTTAATGAGGGGGGATCAGACTTCGTCTTATAAATGTACCTACAACATAAGTGCAAAACAGAACTAATAATTATATTTTATTGTAAGCACTTATAGGGCCCGTATTACAATAGTTAGGCGGAAGGGACGTAATGCTAACGCAGTTCCCCCTCCGGTTCTCGATACCACGATAAAAAAAACAATAATAACAATAGTTAAACCAAGGTTAAACCGCGGATTCGGCTGGTAAAACAGTGGGTTAAGCGTAACCAGGGTTTAAACTATGATTGTAAAACGGGCCCTTAGCCTACTTGAAATGCTTTAATGTGTGAATTTACCTATTATTAAACTTAAAAGTTAAAACATTACCTATGCATCTGTGATGGTTTTGTTTGTTGATTTTTTAAGTGAGTTATAAATAACATGTTTTATGTCACTATTTCAAAATTTTCATAATTCGTAAACAATTATCGTATTACATAGATAATGTTCTTATTTTTAAGTTTGATATTAAATCAATTCTCTCTAATTCTAATATTAAAGCTATAAATACAAAATTGGTTCTTCTGTACCCACACAAATTTCGTTTATTCGACAAAGACATCACAAGCTGGTGTATGTCCTCTTAACTAAAATATATCATGTATGTGTAATAAAAAAAATTAGAATCATATTATTGGGCAGGGACACCCCACTGTTAATACAATAATATAATAATTTAGTTGATAAATGTGGCTATGTGGGTATTTACATATTAGGCATACTTCTACATTTAAAATTCATTGAATTAACATTTTATATTCAATTTAGTATATAACTATATTAGTAAAAACTCTATTTAAAGAAAAATATTCTTTAAAGAGGTAATCACCTCTTTTAATCTACCCACCCTCCTCCCAATGAACCAACTGAATTCTATTCTTTGCACCGATGATGCATTTTAATTGAAAGGATGTTACACTTTTCCTTGTGTTATCACTTATCACTATCTTATAATTAATATAGTACTACATAGACATTTTTTGTATTAATCAGAACCAATTTTTTGATGATAGCTTTAATATTATAGTGAATTGACCAAATATCAAGGTAAAAATTTTTGATACTTATTGATACTTCATCTTATTAAAGATCATAACTCACTTTAAAATTTAAATACCAATAAATGCCAATGAGATTTTCTACATAATATTGTTGGTTGATATTTCACTATAGTTTAAAAACTAGAAATATAAAATATAATATATAATAATTATGATTTAAATCAAGAGTTAACATAAAGTTTATAGGTACCATTTTAACCCAAGTGCTATATACTCATATTTCTTTTCTCTACTTTGTTTTGAATATTTTAATGTTAATAATTAGTCTCGATGTATATATATCATATTTTTGAATAAAATCTAGTTTATAAAAATTTTGAAATATCAGAAACTTTCAAGATTAAAATATTGACAGTTTGTTGTTTAAGCTTGTTAACAAATTAAGGATATAAAAACAATATTGGCAGAAAAAAAAGTGATACATATTAAACGCATCATACATACATAATATACATATAAAAGGAAATTAAAAATATTATAATGACTAAGAGTAAGAAAAACGTTTATTCTAATTTACTCTTAAATTTATAAGTTATCAGTTAGGTATCACTATTTGTATTAATAAATATTAAATATATTATTTATATAATATATGTTGTTGTATAATATCTATTTCAATATAAAATGTAATAGTATTAATAATATAAGGCCATTAAAATGAATTAATATTATAATAAACACACACTTAAAATAGAGTCATAGACGTCTGTACATAAATTATAAGTAATTCTAAAATGGGTATAGTAAAATAAATTTTAAGTGTAGGTTTATTCAATAATTAACTAATTATTTCTCAATAGTATTCAGTCATTTATAAAATAAATGAGTTAATGTTAAAAAAAAATTATAAAAAAATTGGTAATTATATAATTTATTTAATCATTAGGTATGGATATAAATGTATAATTATATGATTAAGAAGAATAAGAATACAAATGTGGGTCTCATACAATTGTCTATTTATAATTAAAAAATTAATCTTCATAACTATGAAAGTCGGAAAGACATAAAAAATGCTTCAAGTTAAACCTATTTGATATCAAAGACATAATTAAAATTTTAAAGTTACATATTATTACAATCAGTGCCAGCCCTAGGTATTGGGGGGCCCTGGACATATGTAATAGGTACCCAGAGGAGGGCAAAATTTTAGGATTTTTTAAAACTAATGTTGTTTTTATTTAAATTTTAAACATTAAAAATAATAATATCAGATTATTGTTATCCTTTTTTTTTATTATAATGTGTTAACAAAAAATTATTTACAAATAATAAAATAATATGTATGTGTTGAAAATTATAAGGTAGTAAATTTGTGGGGAAACTTATTATTTTATTAATTTATATTTATTTTAATAATTAGGTACAACTTATAAAAACATCAATAAAAAATAAAAAAATAAACAAAATGTTTGAATGATATAATAAATTATTTAATATCTAAGTACGTGGCGGCGTCCGGGTGAGACGTCCTCTTAATAATTATAGTATACTATTACAATCCTCGAGTATTGTCAAAATATTAATCCTTCGTCATATTGATAATGATTTACTTTGTACTATGTCTAAATTTAGATATCATTTTCCAAATAACTGATGATAAGAATAATATTAATATTAATATATTATACATGTGTAGTATAGAACAATAAATGTATAGATTTATTCATATTTGTTAATATAAAATGTTAATGTGTTTTGGGGTATTAAAATGATAATTTAAAATAGCGGGGCCCTGGAAATTTGTACTCAACTAGCGCCAGCACTGATTACAATAAAGGTGTTTTCTTTCATACGATAGTAAGCCATTATTTTGGTTTGATCACTAAAGTAAATTTGGTCCAATTCGTAAGTTATGATAAACCAAACAATTGACAAACACCAACATTTATATTTCTATAATTCTTTTTTTAATTATTATAAATTCCATATTGATCAAAACTGGTCATTGGAAATAATGAATTACGAGACAAAGTAATTGAATAGTTAGTTATTGTGCACTACTGTATAAATTGTCATTGAATTGAAAATTAACTATAAGTTAACTTTTAAATTAATATTTATTTTTTAATTTTATCATCCTTCAATCTGAAAAGAATCATTTCATTTCATTCAAGTTCTAGAAATGCGTAAATAAAAAAAATTTGATAATGTTAACTGTAAAACATTTTAATTACAATTTTGCATGATAAATATAGCTAAAATACTCAAAATATTAGATTTGGGTATAGATTTAAACATTTTTCTATGTACCACGTTTGTTTTTATTTAATATAGTTGCATGAATAGAGATGTGAGATACTTGAGTAATATGAATAATATCCAATAATGTCCATAGTATTTTAATATATAATATATGGTTAACAAATAACATTTCTTTCCATGTATATATATCAAATTATATTGTAAAGTGAATATGTCTCAACAATTGATAACTATTATTATATATTTGTTGTAAAAACAAAAATACTAAGGTTATTTTGGATATTATAATTTGAATTATTTTATTATGCTTTTATAAGATATAGATATAAAGGGATAACACCCAACTTTTATACTCGTTTTAATTTAAATTTCAAAGTCTGTGACTAATGCGTTCCAATCAATGTTATTCTGAAACACTTCTTGATCCAACCAAATCTTGTAATGCTGTTTAAATTCCCCCGATAACTTGACAGGTTTTCCCAAAGCGGTATTGATTGAAAAATCACTTGGTGTAAGTTCGTCATCCTTCAATCAAATAAATATTTTATAAAACATAATATTTTATTTCACCTATAAAATAACTTAAATCATATTGTATATATATTATTACATAAATAATATCCATAATATTGAATATTGATAGTATTAATACTTATTCACGTAACTATTTATGTAGAAAAATAGTTATAATAAGTTTAGAAATTAGAATTGTCAGGAAATATTGATTTTATTACTAACATAAATAAATGGACTATGTTGAGGCTTGAGACTCAAATCAAAAACTGAAGAAATTAACGAATTTATGTCACATATTATCTACATAAATGGTTTTGAATAGCCAACATAAATGGAAATATATTATAATAAAGTTAGTAATTATTAAAAATGTATTGTACTTACATATTGTTGAGAGTATCGCCGTGCATGGAATTTATCAACTGCCGATCTCAAAAACCGTTCTTCAATTTGAAAATCAGTTGGACGTGCTTCGAGATCTAAATAAAATACAACAACTTGGTGATTATTATTTATATTTGATGAGCTTCTGCAGGTAAATATTTAGAAAGTTAATTTTTTTGATAACTGCTTTTTTTTAGGTATCTACAAATGTAATTATGTATTATTGCTATAGATATTTATATGAAACAATAAAGTAACATATTCAAAAATAAATACTTAAACACTCATTTACAACTATCTATATAAAAATATTAGGAAATCACTAATAAAAATGTTGGTTCCGTTCTGCTGTACATTAGGTGTTGTATGGATCACTGTAATGGATGTGTTAAATTTGAATTCAATGATATAAAACCATTGTATATGAAAAAAGATTCTGAGTGAACAGATATTATAACAGTATATTATTGTGATTAAAGTTATATATTTTACCTATTACTTTAGTAGATTGAATTCATCTTTGATAAAAAAATTGCATTTAAAAATGGATTTGTAGGTATACAATATAATAATATACTTTAAAAGTATCAAGAAAACAAGAATACATTTTTATTACAACAAAATAACCAAACTATTATTCTTTGGTTAAATATCTTATTTCTTAAAACTTAGAACTTAAAATATCTATTTAAAAAAACAGTTCCTAAACATTTTATAGATTTTTTGGGAACGGTATAAACTACTTCTTGTTTTTTTTTTTAATTTTGAATTCCCAAGTCTTAACTATAAAATTGTTGTAAAAATGATCATAACACCAACGTTTTTAAAACAAAATCAAATTGTTAATTAAAAATTAAAAATAGACATGTATAATATTCTAAAATTTTATGATTTATTACATTTTTTTTTGAACAATTATAAAGATTATAAAATTAACTAGAAACTACTATACAAATATTAGCTTCTATAGTAATATAATTATTTTAGTTTTTACCATTTCCATATGCCCAATCGTCATTTAGTCTGTGTCGAACTTTTTGATATATTGTACTCATAGTTTTCATATTAGATTTTCTCCATGCCCGACCAAGGTATTTTGCTTGCATTTTCAACAGTTTTAAAATGTAAAGTTGCATCATAGCATGTCTTACTTTTAATGATTTTTTCAATATTGGTGCAGATTTAAATATAACTAGCATCTAAGACATATAAAAATTCAATCAAGATTTTTATGAGAATAATGTTTTACTTTAGCTACCATGATTCGTGAGTGTTTCCATTTTGTTATTTTATTCAAGACTCTTAATAAATTAATACAAGAATAAACATTTCTCCATGAACATAACGGAAACTCTCCTATTTCAATGTTGTCTAAAGAAAGATCAGGTCCATCACCAATAACACATGTTGGAAAATCTAGTATTGGAATCCTACAACCACATTAAACCAAATTATTATTAATGAATCAGCAACAACATTTATATTTATTACTCACGTATTTTTAGATGATACATAAGATACGAGATTTTGATTCAGAAACTTGATTACAAGTGGTATGCAATTTGCAAATACTAGATGTTGAGAGATAAACTCAAATTGATAAATATGATTTGCTTTAAAATGTTTCAGTAGTAAGAGCAATATACCACTTATAGCTTTTACTACAATTTCTTTCTGTCTATTGATATCAGTTTCTAGCTTAACTGACTCAGAAAATGACATTCTGTGAAGAAAAATATTATGTTGTTTATAACTATGAACTTATGAAGTTAATTTTATATTTATTGTGATTTGGTTACATACGGCACATCAACTGGTAATATATCAGCAATTATATTGATTGAATCACTTTTAGCTTTTGAAGTAGGTGATGCAGCCAATAATATTTTCAATAATGCAATCATATGCTGAGGTAAATTTGGCAACATCGCCTAAAATTTAAAAAAATTTAGTTTAGATTATAAATTATAGTTGAATGCACCATTATTTTGTTTGTTTATGATTAAATCATCATTAACTCATAAAAACATCGCTAACCTGATATAAAACTTCCGCAGGTGTTTGTTCAACATCATCATTGCCCATAATTATAGGATTTCTTTGAATTGTTTCTTCTTTTTTTATTTGGTAATCAGCTAATGATGTATACATATACTGAAAATATAATATTTTGTAGATGTTGAACATAAAAAATAATTTAGTTATATACTTGTTTAAGAATAGCTACACTTTCGTGTATGGGATCAGGTAAGCCAATTAGTGTCTCGATATCATTGTCCAATTTAAAACCAAGGAATTTAATTCTTGTCTGGTCCAAAAAAAATTGTAAGTCCTTATGACGAACTTTAGGTACCCATGGTAGGCCTTTTATCACCAATGGTGTTGGTGGTGTTTGTGGCCTATAATCATTTATTTCTTGTATATTTTTCATACTAGAAATATCATCCATTCCTAGTTGCTGATCTTCATAGTCTTGTAAATCTTCATCATTCTGATAGGATAAATCCATAACTACAAGAGATTCGTCTAATGAACTCTGTTTTATTAGGCCCTAAAAAAATATATCAAAATTAAAATTATTGTTGAAAAATATCATGCAAAACGCTCTTTTAAAATTAGTATTTAATACTCTTAACATAAAACTATATCTAAACATTATGTAATGCTGATAAATACTGAATATGAATACCAACTGGTTTAGGTAAATATTATTATCTTTGTAAAGATGATAAATTGATGATAAATTGGTAGTATTCAACAAACTATACAACTTATGTTTATTTTTAACAAAATAAAAGTTGTATTATTTAATTATTTATATGTATACAAATAAATACTACATAATTTGTATTATATATATATATAAAGTCTTAAAGATAAATAACCATTTTAAACTATGAGTGAGAAACTGTAAATTTAGCAAAGAAGTGTTTTATTTTGAAGTGACTTATTTACAGAAGTTTGTCAGGCTACATTAGAAACTCTTGATTATTTTTGAATAAACCAAAACTGTCTGAAACTTAAAACTCCAAAACTAGTGTTTCTATGTAAATTTAATAATATTATTCATTCTATCAATGTAAAAAAAACCACCACAATTATGGTTGACTGCATAAAACATTACGAAATAAATTTTTTTATTTCAAAATATATAGGTAGTAGTATTAAATAACATCAACTAAGAATTAACTAACAACAATATGGTAAAATTTTTTCAATTTGGGAGACAAATTTAAAGGACGTTTTTAGTCATATATAAATATATAAGACTAAATAAGACTATCTTTATCTATAATATAAATCGCTGAATGTGTTGTAAACCGCAAATCTCGAGAACAGCTGGTCCGATTTGGCTCAAATTTTTTTTTAAGATGCTTGTAATTGGCAGGAGAAGATTTTTACGAAAGACAATTTTAGGAAAATCCACCGGAAAAGTAGTGGCACAACAGTGTATTATATATTGGTTGCTATTAGTTAATCAGGCGTTTTTTATTTTGTATTAATATATATACAAATGAATGTTTGTGTGTAGATTAGACCTCTGGGAAGATGCCAGGCTAATTTAAAAATGGTTAAATTTGGTTTTTTTTTATTCATCGGATTTTAGTACGGTTAGGTTAGGTTAGAATTTTGTATTAATAAACTATGATATTATTATTACTTATAAAGGTATTATTATAACATTTATGTAGAAGTTAAAATTATGGTAATAAAAATAACAAACATACCAGCCATAATAATAAAAGTACATAGCTTTATATTATATTCATATATATTATCTTTATATATATATAATTCTACTGTTCGTGTGTTGTGATTGAACTCCTCCTAAATGGTTGGACCGATTTGAATGAATTTTTTGTTTGCGTTTGGGTGACGCTCTGGATTATTTAGATTCACAAATCATCCCCCAAGGTAGGTCATTAAAAATGCCAGAAAGACGCCAGAGTGCCAATTTTTGTAAAATTTGGTGCTTTTAACTCAGTACTAAAGATTGTATGAACAGCATGAGCTTCATTCAAATATTTTCTACCTACCGACATAATATATTTAAAAAAAAATAAGAAAATCAAATATAAAAATATTATATAGTTATAATTGTTCTTTAACTTCAAAAGTGGTTCATTATCGACAGTACACTCAAAAAATTCCTGGGAAACTAGGGAACAATTGTTAACCGAACGTATTCCATTAAGTCTGGTAAATGTTTATTACAATTTTTTCTATCAAACTTGATCCATTTCATTATTGGAACATTATTTAGTTTCAGTCAAGCCTCTTCGGAGAAGTTCAATAACAAACACTGTGACATGAAATTTTTATATATTAGATATACATATCTACTTGATATGCTGTCGTACATTTTTTAAGGGAAACAAAGTGCACGGGGTTAGCTAGTATATATATACACAATATACTAGCTGTATCATCCAACTTTGCCTGGGAAAAAATGAACGTACCTAAAATGGGAAGCTACGTAACTCGATAATAGAAAAAGTTATAAAGACAATATATTTTAGCTAATTTTTATAGTAATGTAAATGTTGAAACTAAATTTTTTTCGATAACTCAATTTTATAATTTAGCTTGTTGAGGTATAAAAAGAAAGTGATCGGTAATTTCCACATAAATCTTATGTATTTAATATTAAAACTATGTAGGTATGTAACAAAATTTATATTAATTTGTAGTGTATAATTACAGCCTGTTTTTATTTACGACAGAGTGTGTAAACGATTTATGCATGTACATTTCTCGCAAGCAACAGACATTAAAGGTATATTTCAAACATAAAAACAGATTACAGTTCAATTACTGAAATTACAAATAAAATTACAGCTTTTGAAAAAAATAGAAATTTCTTAAGTAACAATAAAATTGGAAATAAAAGATCACTCAGGAAAGTATTTGGATCAACTCTGTGAAAAAATAAAATGGAATTAAGTTCAATAGTTTTGTCAGAAAATTGGTACATAGAACATGCCTGTTATTTTATATATAAAAGGAAGGATGTATATATTTATTTAAAATTTCAAAAACCATTAGTTATTAAATGTAATTATATAACTATAATAATATATTTATTGTACTCGTATATTAATTTAAATAGTAAATTAAATTCAGAAAAATTTTGAAAATGTAAATACTTTGTCTATATATAATGCAATATGAATGTTTTTATAAGTGTTATTTATTTATATAAAATAGAACCAATAAAAACCAATAAACAAAAATAATTTCATATTTTTTGAATATTGGTTTCATTATTATAAGAAGAACTACAAATTCATCATTTTTATAACACAATAATATTCATCACTTTAAATGTATTATGATAGCTGATGTAACTTACTATGAACAAAAATGTATTATTAAATATTTTTTAATAAGAAGAAATCAAATACATAATATAAAATATCTTTGATAAATTCATGTAGGAGCCAGGAGGTATAATTAATTTATAAAGTAGTTGTATTGGTTGTAGTTTATTAAAATTGTTATAATTTTTAGAATAAATTAAGATATATATTGTAAATATTATGATCATACCCTATAATATAGTTAAGACAAGGCTCATAACTGGAACACGTTCTAATTTATCATGTTTTATTAAATACAGTGGCACCTTGATAAGTAAAAATTCAAAGGTAATTAAATTTTTCATTTTTCAACTTGTTGAGGTTTTTGACTTACTAGTGTTAGGTTAGGTTAGGTAGCTAATCTAGATTAGGCAAAGCCGCAAGTAAACAGTAAGTTAACAGTATTTATTTTGACTTATTAAGGGTTTCAACTTATCAAGGTTCCATTGTACCTAACAATATTTTTAAATATTAAAGTTATATTTCAGATTTTAAGTATAAAGTAAAATTTCATTACATGTTCTTGTGGTTTGTGGTCAAGAACTTTTATAAGTTCAATATTTTTAATTAATTTGTTATTTCAAAATATTTTAATTGAATTAATTCTAATACATATAAAATAACTATTAGATTGAACACGTACTGTGGTGCAAGACATATTTACACAAATGGTTTGTTTGTGTGAGAATCATATATTAATTCTAACTATTACAAAGTTTTGCAATACACATAAGAAATCCAAAATATATTATATTATAATATTTTTTGAGTTAAAATAACTCATTTTTATTATACTTTTACCCACTCTATTTAATAACCCAAATGTATTCATATTTTAATGTTTATAGTATTATATTGTTATTAAACTGAATTGAATGCACTTTTTATACGTCAAATAAGCATGATTAATAGTATTTAAATTGAGAGTTGAAAAATTATAACTTATTCATATTAATTAAAATGTACACATAACTCATAATTATTAGCAAATTAGGTACAACAGTTGTGTAATTAATGACTGTGCACATAATAAATACAATATACATTATGACATTAACAAAACGGCACAAAAACAAGACCATAACTCTTTAGTGATTTTCCAATGATTATGATTTTATGACAAATAGTCAGCATTATTTAAACTTACCTCTTCGCAAATGCTAAGAGAAGTAGAATCACCAGTTAATCGGTATGATAATGCATTTAAATTATACGCCATCTATGAAATAATCAATTATTTTTTTCAAATTTTGGTACCAACCAAGAAACGGGTCAAACTCTTTAGAATAAAATGAGATATATTTAAACTAACAATTTTGTATTTATAGGATTGTATATCATATATCAATCATATTATTGTAGTTAGTATAATTTATAAATTACTAAATGAAAATAATACATTTTAACAATGGTATTAAAAAATAAAAAAACTGTTGATAGCCAAATCTATCTTTTTTTGAATTTCAGGAAATGGAAAACGAATTTTTCACACTGTGAAATACATAAAATATCTGGTTAAATTATCACTCCAGTTTGACATTGTGAAATTTTTAATGTCATTTGTTGTCAAAATAAAATTTGTATCTAGTGGCATGTTGCATATTTTCAGAATCAATAATTGAAATGTCTGAATGTGGTATAGATTGAGATATGTTCAGCAACACTTGAATATCACATTATATTAAAATAAATAAAATCTACACATTTCAGATTCTCAGATTATTGTGTAAATATTATTGAATATAATAATTAATAATCAATAACTATATGCATAAAACTATTCAAGTTGTAAAATTGTAACGAGAGGTTAGGGATTCCTAAGTTGTTAATTTAAAAGTGCTTATAAAACCAAACAATGTGCTTGTTTTGAAGATAGCATTAAATATTACAGCTGTTGTCATAACTAATTTTTCTGTTTAAAAAAAAGAAATTGGTTCATCCACTTAAAATTGTTTTTTTAATAATATGATAAATTATAATTTTTTCCAAATTTAATAATTTGTGGACTATACTTTTTTTGTTTACCTTACATTCAATCTCTTAAAATTACAAAATTCTTTATAAATAAAAAGAATATCCCGAAAATGTAATAGATTAATTTTCAACAAAAAAAGGTATCTTTTATATAATTAATCACAATATATTTTAATGTATAATAAATTAACTATGACCTATAAAACCATCATCTTAATATCAAACACACTAGTATCATGCTTCAAGATGAGAATATCAAAAGGAATGCTAAACACCCAAAATATGTAATTAATCCAAATGTTTTAATTTTTAAAATTAATAGGTAATTGACTTTTTACTAAAAAAAAATCTATTCAAAATGTAAAGTAATATGAGACCAAATTTTTTAATGTATAAAATAGTGGTTTTCAAATCCAGAATTTATTAAGGGTATACATTTTAAATTTCACTGCTATGTTCAAATATATTTAATTGAACAGAGATTTTGGTCTTCAGCAAGTTTGAGTTTAGATATCAATTATATTAGAAAATTATAAACTGTACTAATGTTTACTACTAATATAGGATAACTTATCTTGATTAGTTTCTTTTTACCAATTGTCAATTTGTTCTATTTTCATATATCACAAATAATTAAATTGGTCAAATAAAAAAAAAAAAAACATAACGGCACCCAGTTTGAAAACCACTATTATAACATATAACAAAGTATGCACTTAAATAACTAAAATTATTTTGAATATAAGAAAGTCAAAAATAAATAAAATAAAGATATCAGTGTTTGACACAAATATGATAATTATTATGAATTTACTTAATATGTAATTTGGTAGGTAATACAATGACAGTAAAAATAATCAATTTGTTTATAATTTATTAAATCAAAATTATGAACTTTTAAAAAAAATATCTAAACATATATTTAAAACAATATTTCTTATTAACATCTTATCAAAAAATAGTTAAGTTGATAATTTTTAATACATAATATTTTACTTACTCTCTTCTGACGTGTGCCACGTTTTTGTGCATTCATCATATCTGTGGAACTTGGTGGTGGTGAAGATGACCGCATCGATTTAATTATTTCAATTGGATCTTCTTGAAGTTCTGGTAATTCTACATTTTTTCGGTATTCATCTAACAAACATTTGTTCTTTATAAATAAGAAAATTTTAAATATGAAAAATACATACTTTTTAAATTAGCCAGTTTGTCCATTCCACCGAGTAGAACTAAAATTAACTTCCACAACAACAATAAAACTTTTTTCATTGGATAATATGATGCCAATCCACTGCAAAATCTAGTAATCATTCCTAATAGTTTTACTATTAAATGGTCTTCTGTATAAGGTAAGCCTAAAATTTAAACATAGAATTTTAAATAGAGTTCTAAGTAGTTTTTTCAATAACTTTATAACGAAATATAATTTAGTTACCTATATCTAATAACAGATTTTCTCTAAATTCTTTGAATTCAACATCTGTTTCAAATTCTGACACTCTAAGTACTTCAATAAATGTGTACAACACATTCAAAATGATTCTTAAATTTGTAGAATCTGTACAATTAATTTGAGTTTTTCGATGAAATTGTACTGATCTAAAACAATAAATAAATAAATTATAGTTCTAGATTTACAATATAAGGTTGTCAATAATATGTGTGTCATACTCTATTTCCATATTCAGCAGATTTACAAATATATTATAAACGCCAAATTTATATAAAAAAAGTATATTTTCTTTGGCATTAGTCTGTTGATCTTTGTCTGATTGACATTCCGCCCAACATCCCTAGAAATAATATATTTAACTTAATAATGTATTTAATTATCATACAACAAAGTATCTTATGAAAAAAGTCTACTAACTTGCAACAAATATAATACACATCTGGCTGCATTCATCCGTTTTGCTTTGTCCGATACTTCTAATGAATCAAGCAGTCTAGATGCGACTATATTTTTATTTTCTATACTTAAATTATGCCATGATGGTTTAAAGTCCAATGCTTTCATTACTCTTTCAAATTCCTAATTTAAATATTTTCAATTTTAATGAATAATATTATATTACAGACCTAATTTATAGTCAATATACATGAAGAGGACATTATGTCTTTATGATTCTTTCTAAATTACTGTAATATGTTCTACCAATATATGTAAAAATAACCAATTTTTACAAATGACAATATTTTAGAGGGTAAGACTGAGTTTTATTTAAAAAATTTAAATTTTGAAAAGTAAAAGGTATTTTAAAAATGTTGAAGTTTTTGCTATTTCTAAACGATAAAATGAACTTTATATTGGGTATAATGGAAAAAACGACTTGCCCTCAGAAATGTATAACAAGATAAAAATTAACAACTAAAAATGATAATAAAGCATCGACAGATTTATTTGTCATAAAAAGTTTAAATAAAAAAAAAATGTATAAGCTTTAATATACTACAGTGAAACTTCTCCTTACAAACACTTTTAAAATTAATTAATTTATCTATTTATTTTTTAAAGAATTAGGACATTTTTACTGGACATAATGGACGGTTTTGGGTAATTTTTATGATGATTATAGAATAATCTTCAAATTACATTTCTCATTAGGTTTAGGTAATTACCAAGATTTTAAGCAAACCATAGTAATTGATGATTTATATTTTATACATAGCCTACATTAATTTTAATACATACATTTTGGTTTTAAGCTATCAGTTTTAAGAATAAACTATGAACATAAAATATAGGAATAATAATTATTATCATTAGGTATTAATAATTAAATAAATTCACTGCAAACAGAACAGCACATACAATTTTAGTGACAGATAGTGTCCACTATTCAGAGGTTTGACTGTAGTATTATAGTATTAATGTAGTATTATTATTTTTAGGTTATTTGTGTATATGTTGTGGTAAATTGTTATGGGTACCTATGTTCAAAAACTAAAGTGTATGATAATGTACATTTATTTCTATGTGGAATTCATTGATTTATGGATGATGCGATCATAACTTGTTGTTAGGTCATATAAATCATATAAGTATGTAAAACAATATAACCTATGTATTTTTTTCTATGATTGACCTGAAATTTACGAATTAATTTTGTTCACATATTGTATTCACTTATTTACATTGAATTTTTTAAACAACAAAATACGAGTAATTTTTGAAAACTTTGAAGTATAACCTCAAGGTTAATCGACATTGCTTTTTTTCACTATTGGATATCTTTACTTTAAACTGATACTAAAAACTAAATTGTAATAAATATAACATAATAATTAAAAAAATATTCACAATGTTCCATTTAATAGCATTATTAAACACATTTTATGTTATACTTAAATTTGAATACACTTATATTAGTAGGTATATTGATAATTTATGTACAAAGATATTAAGCTAATATAAAGTGGGAGAGCACTATCTTATAGGTATTAGTATTTCATTAAGTAACAACTAACAATTTTAATTAAAAAGGACTGTTAATCACATTTATTTCACAACGGCATTCAAAACTTTCTGATAATATTTTAATTTTTAGAGTACTATTTTGATTATATTGATGTTTTTAAGGATATTAACAAAAATAAAATGATCTAATATAATATATAGCTATAAGCCTTAAGAGGACGTGATACCCACATGTGTTGTCTTCGTCTTACAAGTGAGTAACATACCAAATTTTACATTCAGCAAAACACATGTAGCTCCGTTAATTTAAAAATTGACCTCTTATAAAATCTAAAGGTAAGATTATCCAGGCAATCTCATGGGCTTTTAAATATATTTTAATTTTAATGCGAGTTATTAGTATTTTAAAATTATAAATTGTTTAAATATGTTAAAATACACATAACTCGCTGTAAAACTAAAATATATTAAAAAGCCCATGAGATGGTCTAGATAATAATCTTACCTTTAAATTGTATAAAAGGTCACTTTGCTTTAATTTTTAAATACACGTGTTCTGCTGAAAGTAAAACTTGCTATGTTACGCACTTGTAAGACGGAGACAACACATGCGGGTAACTCGTCCTCTTAAGTATAATAAATAGTTTTAACTGTAAGGCTTTTTCGTACATATTATTTAATTTTTTAATTACCTGAATATTGGTCTGATAATCTTCTAACTCGGAGTAACTATACAGTTCTGCCATTTCACAGAGGTGAGTATCTGTATCCCCATAGTTATATTCAAGATCAGGGCAGTCAGATTCTTCCTGAATAAGAGTATTAACTAATATATTAAGTAGCCGACAAATAACCAAATGCCAAAATATAATTTTCTTACTTCTGAATCTTGTTTCTGCTTTCTGCCCATGGAGTCTTTTAGTTTTGGAGTATTTCGTTTACCATTGCCAAAAACATCCATTATAAGACAATATTGAATATAATATAGGTATCACAAAATTATTAAAGAATGTCAATGGTATTGCATGTAATATAGTATTCCACAAAAGCGAGAACCATTTTTTTTTAAATCTGTTAACATTAAACAAAAAATTATACTAAATATACTAAATACAATAATGATTCAATGAAATGTAAACAAAATACAAGCTACCTAATACGACGACAAAAATTACGTATAGTTTTAAAATTGTTACTATCCAAAATGAATAAAGATACACTGAAATTACAATATCTTTTGTAAGCAAATAAAATAATTCTAAATTCTAATGTAGGTACTCGACCATAAAATTAAAACTATAACAAGTATTGTAGATAATAAAATTGTTAATGAAAAGATTGTTATCAATATTCATTATTTTTGTTATCATCTTGGCCGTAATATCATAATAGATCTATCTTTAAATAATATATTACGATTAATATTTTTATTATAAATAATATTTAAAATATAATATAATATAATATAATATTATAATATTTATACGTATATTTTATTTTATTCTTTTATCACTGAAGTAGTATCAATTCACGGGTTTCTAGTGTTATAATGTAGACCATAATAAAATATAGTGTTTAGGTATATATGAATTTAGAATGAAATGTTAGTCCCCTGAAATTTTTAAATGGGTTTCCGCTTATGCTAATGACCATAAAACAACTATAATACAACTACAGCTGAGCAGCTACTGCTATACAAAGATATTGATAAGAAAACATCGTTCGGTTATTACTTATTAGTTAGTTAGTTAATTTTTTGGACTAATGTGTTTTGGATTAGTATACTCGCGATATACTTGTCTATGTTTTGGAGTACATTTCATAAAGTAGAATAAACCTAGGTACTCTAATTAATAATTTTCGAACGCACCTCAGGGCTGGTCCTCCTGGACCTTGCTAATTACCTTACTACTTAGTACATAATATTATTATAATATTCTGTATTTCTGTTCTATAAATTGTACAGAAGACTGTACACCTATCAATAGCGTAACCACCGAAGATAGGTATAACGATACATCACATCGTTCACATACTACAGCAGCTAACACCCTTAAAAGCTAATATCCTTATTATTTCATAAGTAGGTAGTTCTCACTTCATTAGTATTTACTATTTACGTATATCTTAATAATTGCAAACTATTAACACCAGTAAATAATAACAATGCCAATGATTGAACACGATTAGTTCCTAATTAGGTACAATATTACAATAAATTTACAACATAGGCACGATTTGTGCATTAATTTAAAATGCCTTCTAATAAATAAACAAATTTCTAAGTTGTGATCTAATTAATAGATTTCCAGTTTTCCTTTTATTCTGGTATAAGTACATAACATATATTATTAACAAATTACTTATTAAAGCAAACACCAGAACAATAGGTTAATATAGTGTAATGTTGTATTATTGATCTATTTTGGACTCTGGTACCTACTTAAAATTAATATCATAATAATTATACCATATTAATATAAGTGGCATTAATATTTTAGAATGGCATCAGATTATCAGAATTCAAATGAGATCCTCTGGAAGAAGCCTCTCAATGGCGCAACACAATTAATCAGTAAAGGTCATGAATTTTCTTCATCATATGAATATTAGGTAATCATGGTTAATTTGTAACCACTAATGAGGCAATTGTAAAAGGCGTCGCCAGGGTACCAAGTAAGCAACAATATACCAGTGACCAACACCAGTATTGCATTTTGGTGATGACAAGTTTGAGGAGGCCGTTTGGTAACTCTGAATTCTGATTGTAGCTGGTGACTTAACACAAGAAAATGGGGAGTGGCTGTGGCCCGTGGTCAGTGGGCCTGTGGCAAATGGCAATTTGGCGTATGTATGTTCCATTTCGGAAGCCGACGGTTCACGATCGACGGCCGTTGGTACACCGACGGTCAGCTAACGCTATCTATCGGAAACGATGACCGCCATTCGGAACCGTCTGTCCGTCTAGTACAACTCTAGTGCAGGGGTCGGTATAATGTGGTATATGGCATAATATGGCCTCCATAGTAATTTTACATGGCCCGTGAATAAAATGTATAATTTGTATAAAATTCACAAACTAAGTAATTATGGACTGGCAACTCCGAAAAGCTAACGTTGTTTTTTGGTAGATACCTTGTTAAATTAATAAACCTAACAGTTATGAACTTAAATAAACTGAATTCGATGATAATTCATTTTGTGGCCGTAAAAAAATTTTAATTTATTTTTTGGCCCTTGACATCAAAAAGGTTTCCTACCTTTCTATTGGTACCTTTCTAATTAACAAATTCTCATACAATGATTTTCTTATTTTATCGTTATTCAAAAAATAATAAACGTTGGTACTTGAAATTTTCATCAAATGTTTATTTTATAATTTTCTATAGGTTCACATCACTATTTATTTATAGTTTATTTATAAACATTTTAAATTTTAAATTTTAAATTTTTTTAGTTTTAAATTGTATAAATGTCAATAAAATGTTATTCATTGAGTCATAAATAGCTTTAGAAAGTAATACAAGGGTCCTCATAAGTAGTTATAATAGCAGTTGAGATGTATTCAAAATCCAAAAATTATTTTTATATAAATATTTAAAGTTTGGATTTTGACAGTATTTATCTAAATCATCTACAAAATCTCTAAATTTTCAAATTATTTTGTTGTTAAAAAATCATAGAATTTTCAATTTTTATAGATAAGGATTGACAATTTAAAACAATGGTTCTCATAAATAGTTCATACTGTAACCAAAGTACCAAACTTTCTAAAAAATATATAACCACTGTTATTTTTTACTGACATTTTAAGTTCAAATTTGAACGAAATAAGATGTTAAAATTAATGAAATAACGATGTTAGTCATTTTGTTGTAATTTAAAAATGTATGAAATTTTTAGAACATATTTTTATACACACAATGACATATTCAAGTGTAATTTTTTTTGTCCAAAATAAATTTGTCCTACTGTTGTATACACTTGTACTACTACCTAATGGTAAAATAAATTACTTTAATCACAATAATATATCATCAAATAATATACTCAGTATTACTAGTTCCTATACCTAATGAACAAAAGAGCGATAGGTATTATAATAATATTAAAGTATACTTGCGTCGTGTTATTCACAAAATATTGCTAGTTTATACTTGGATTTGTTTTGTATTAAAACTCACTACTCAGTGAACTTTTTATTATTTTATAATATTATGATTCGTTAAAATCACCTTATGGCTTATACTATCTCAAAATACTTACTGTCTTACTATTTTCGATTTTCCTATATGTTTTCGCCGTTTTACAAACAGTAAAATTGCAGCGTTCAGTATAATCAACTATATTTAACACAGTTATCACTTACCTTCAAGGCCAGATACTTGGCTAGTCTTATATATGTAAATCTTTTTAAATAGCCCCTTGCCCCGTTGTATAGCAATATAGATTCAACTTATATACAATATACTAATAGTAGGTACTAGTAATAAGGTAATTTTGGAAAAAAATATTAGATGTTTTTAATATTTTGTCTGCATAAACAACTAATTATGATTACGTATAAATATAAATAATCTTAGTATTACTTAGTCTTTTATTAGTTTATACAAGTTTCATTAAAAATAAATACATAATGCAAACAAATCTAGTTTTATAATTATTTAAATTTTAAAAACATAATTTTCTACTTCTAAGTTATAACAATATATTTACAAAATTTATAAGTGATTTGAGTTTTATAATTTTATGATACAAATATTATCGTTAAAAACATTTTAAATTTCAAATACTATGACGAGTATTTTGTAAAACAAGGTTATTAGTACAGGAATTTAAAAAAAGAAAAATATGTTTGTGTTGGAAATTTAATATTTTACTCAACATATTCAGAAATTCATTAAAATCTCTAAACTTTAAAAATTAATATTAAATTAATAATATTGCATTACTGTATAGTTAAACACTCATATCTCTAAGTATTGGACGTTTAATTCGATGTTTCATATACCTACATTTTCTAACAAGAATTATAAAAAAAAGTTTTGTGTAATTCCACAAATATATTTTTGGGCTTCTGGAGTTTAAATTTCGATGCTTTTAATTCATGCGTGAAATAACGATTTCTAATCTTTTTAACTATAAAATCCTTTTTAAATTTTTAATTTGATAAATGTCAAAAACCGATCTTTAAATGCATATAAAAAAATATTGTGTCTTTGTATTTTTAATATTTTTCAACTTCTTTTGTAACGATATATCTGGTGCCTTGTATTACATTTTCACGCTTTTTGACCCAACAAATAACATTTTAATGACATTTTTAGAAAAAAACTAAAAAAATCGAAATTTGAAATTGTCCGTAAACAGCTCAAGCTTAGGAATTCATAAAATAAACATATAATATTTAAAAAGTCTACGGTTATTCGTTTTTGAATTACAAATAAATAAGAAAATCACTACATGAGAAATCGAGTGAATATCCAATGTTGTAAAAATAAGAACTTCACTTGCATGAACTCGACCCGCCCACTTTCTATGATACGACCCTAACCAACACCAACACTCAACAGTTAGCAAATAATAGCAAATTTACTGTAGAAGTTAGCAAATCATTATTGAGGAAGTTATAATTTTTTTTTTATTTGGGGGGCCAAGTTCAGGTCACCCACTTTGTTCTATCGTATCCAAAACAAACACCGGTAGTTAGAAAATAGTTAGCAAATAATAGAAAATCAAAATTCTATTTATGGCTGATTTAAAAAAAAAATTCAGCCCACCCACTTTGTCCGATCGTCTTAGTTTTTCAAGTCGATTCTCCGTATACCTGCAGGAACTCAATATGATTATCTCCTATTCTTTTAGCAAACACCTTACAAAATTGAAAATATGTTTTATTTTAAACTCTTTAACGCATATCCTATGTTATGATTTTATGAATAATTAAATGTTTGTTGTATG